CGCACGCTCACACACACACACGCTCACACACACGCTTACGCGCACACACGCTCATACGCTCGCACACGCGCATGCTCACACACACAACACACCCGCTCACACACATGCTCACACACACACGCTCACACACAGACACGCTCACACACACACACGCTCCCACACACACACACACGTTCACACATACATGCACACACGCTCACGCACACACACACGCGCACACGCACACACACACGCGCACACGCTCGCGCGGCACTCTACCCCCCCCACCACCTTCCTCATGGGTAATTTTATTCCGACTGCTTCGTATTTACGCGACACTAAACAACTGCACGGGGGACGATCCGTTGTTGTATCGTACATCCGAGCTCCACACGTCATGCGGTGGCCAGGTTTCACCGCACCGCCCAGACAGACCCTCAACGTGGTGAAATATGGTCAGGTAACTAGCCCCCCCCCCCACCCCCACTCCTTGCCCCTGCAACGGGAATAGCAACGGAGGTGGGAGGGCCCTTCAACACGCAAACAAAACACCAACATTATAGCATTACAAACAATACCTGCTATGGGGGGAGGCAAGCAGGTGGTGTGTTTGAACGTAATGGGGGAGTCTGGTAAAGTCCGATGTGGAAAATGGACTAACGACTGCATCTGGTACAACAACAACACCACCACCCCCCCTCCACCTTTACGGAACAGCAGCGGCAGATGCTGAAAGAGACAACGGTCCTGCAGCAACGAGACCCATTTTTGTTGTTTAACACGGACGTCATGGGGCAGGCAAATGAATTAAAACACGGCTTCTGCGGAGCTTGTGTTCGTAGCTTAGACGAAGGTCGGGTGGATTTGAAAATGTCAAAACATTCGTGATAATTAATAACAATGAGCGGGCTCCACTGCTCCAGCGCCTCTTTGTCTTTCGTCCCCCCCCCACCACCCCTCAACTTGCATCGCTTTCAAATTCATTGCACAAAAAAACACGTGGCATGGCATGGTTTGTGAGTGTGTGTGTGTGGGGAGCGGTTAGCGCGCTGCGCTATGAACCCGGCGACCCGGGTTCGATTCCCGCTCATGGCCAACACCAGTGACGATTATCTAAACCGGTCCTGGGCCTCCTCTAGGTCGACTCAGCCTCAAAATGAGTACCCGGTGCGGTGTGTAAACATCGCCACTGGGGAGACAAAGACGGTCGGGCGTGGTGCTGGCCACCCACCCCCTCGCGTAGCGTTCTGGCCTTCATAGGTTCTCGCTAACAGCACTTGCCCATACAATCTGTTAAGGCTATACGGGGGATCTTTATATTTGTGTATATATCGAATATTCTGTCGTCTACCAGCCGAGTCGCCGTTGAAAAAGGAGATTCTTAGCTCAATGGGCTTTTAACTCGGGGAAACAACACTTCTCATTCCGATTCTGATACATAGGGTGGCCCAAACGTCAGGACGCATAGGGTTATTTCATTTATTTAAACACTGGCATTAAAACCATTTAATTTCTTATTCTTCAAGGTATTTTTTTCATTATCATCTATTTCTCTTCTTCCTTTTCACGTGAAATTTCCAAAGCCCGATTAATATTTCCGAATGAATTGAGACGAAACATAATTGATAAATGTGCAATGATTACACACCTGTAATTTTTCTAAGAAAAGTGCTAAATTCATTTCAAACGCATGCATGCATTGTTAATGGAAGTCAGTTTAGACATTTGTTAAAATAAATTAAATGACCCTGTGCTTTGTTAAAATATAATAACCTGACGTGTACTGACTTTTGGGCTACCTTGAATTTAGTTTCTGAGCGTATACAGAAACAAATGTTTACTTGGGCTCAACGTAGCTTTGTTAACATGAATGGACGTTACATAAGCATCCACCAGTCTGAATACATGATACCATCCAGTATTCAGAAAAGAGACAATGAACAACTCACCCGGTAAGTATCCGAGTTCATCAGATCTCGGAGGCTAAGCAGACTGGAGCCTGGATAGTGGATGAGTGAACTCCAAAGACAAGAATTCCCCGTGTAGCCTTAGAAAGCTGGTGGGGCAAGTGCCGTTAGCAAGCACCGATGAAGGCCGGCACGGCACACGGCGGGGTGGGTGGCCAGCACCACGCCCGGCCGCCTTTGTCTCCCTAGTGGCGATGTTTACACATCGCACCAGGTACTCGTTGAGGCTGAGTCGACTTACGGGAGTCCCAGGACCGGTTGACATATTCGTCACCGTCGTTGGCCGTGAGCGGCAATCGAACTCGGGTCGTCGGTTTCGCAGCGCAGGGTGCGAGATGCTACGCAACCGCTCCCCACACACACGCATTGTTATAGGTCCAAGGACTTGCACGGAAGTCAGCGCAGCAAAGTCCATTGTACTCTACACTTCCATGCTCCCGCATCTGTGTCCATGTACACTCAGTGCTGACAAAGAGGTCACAGAAGCTGCGTGGCGCATGTGCCATTGGGGCTCCGGGCGGATGGGCGGTTTCAGGGATTTTGGGGTCCCAGCAGGAGCCACAAATGGCCCTGTGACCTCCGTCACCCTGTGGGGACACGGGACTCACTGCTCGATAGACATGCCCCTGGGTTTTCTTGATAAACTTACAACACTTTACTTTAATATCAGGGGTGATGCAGTGTAATGGTTAGCGCACCGTGAAACGAATCCAGTGACCCAATTCCAAACCGGTTATGGGCCCCCCACCTTGACCAATCTCAAATGCTCACTGGTGAAATATGGTCAAAGAACCCCACCCCCACCACCACAACCCATCACCAACATGGAATGTAAAAGGGTATTTTTCCAGCAGTGGATTGACAATGGGGCTTGGTACGTTATTATTATTTGAGCAGCACACGATTAAAATGCACGCTAACTGGAAAATGAAGAGGCAATGATTGAAATGTGTAAGTGGCAATGTTTATTAAACCCATTCTGGTTGGGATTTTTTTTCTTTTAACCCCCTTGCAAGTTAGGTCCGGCAGTTGAAATAATATTTGGGTCAAACTGGGCCATCTCGTGTCTCAAAATGAGACAAAGCCATAAACAAGCTCGTATTACTGTCACGGGCAGAGAGATAGAGAGCGAGACCACGTGCCCGTATTACGAATGAATGCTGGCTTCAACAGCAGCAGGAGCCTCGGTATTATAATCAAGTGCTTGCAAATGACAAATGTGGGCCGCCGTAATTTTCGTCAATGTGTAAAATACACACCCAAATTGCTTTGGAAATGCATTTCGACGATAATGCACAGCGGCAGAAGAACAAATTATTAACGTGCTTAAATGCTGCAGCCGGTAATTGATGAGAAATATCGCCGCCGCAGTTAGCGATAACGGCGCTGCATTAGTCACCCTGGACGTAGACCTTAAAACGTGAACTATGTAGTGCATTATACACATACTGTGCAACATTCAAAACGCAATTTAAAAACTAATTTGTAAATACGAGTCAAAAAGGAAGGAATTATCTTGAAAATGTCACGAGTCCATTAACCGAACACGATGTGCCAGGATTGACTAAACGCTGTTTAAAATTTTGACTTAAAGCTTTCGTGACTGCAGGAATTCATATTATTTGGGTCTTTCGGTAAAGCCACGTAGATAGAAAAAATTATAATAAAAATATCACGACATTTCGATCTCAACGCAAGCAATCGTCATCAAGTGAAAAAATAGTGGGAGAGCTGCTGAGGCATGATGTTATAAAGGTTTGAGATGTGTGTAGCCCAAGGGTCATAAGCGAGGTGGGCGGGGCTAGTGAAGAAATTTGCATGTCAATGTAAGATCGGTGAGAACTAGGCAACCTCCACGACGACGAAGCTGCGGGGGTGGCCATTGTATTGAGAGATTAGCATGTCAATGTAAGATCGGAGAGCCACCGCCACATCAAAGAAAACGAGCAACAGTGGCTGTGTTAGTGAGACATTTAACCTGTTAATGTAAGGCATTTAACCTGTTAATGTAACACCAGAGAGTCGAAAATAACTACTAAACATTACAGCCAGTTATGACTTAACCTGGTTAATAACGTCCTTCCGATGATTGCTCAGTTTGTACCCATCTTCTCGGTTGAAATTGTGTCCGTGTTTATATATCTGGATGGCTTCATGAACGAATCTTTGCCGATAGCCAGTGGGTTTGCAGAGTACCATCATCTTAGGAAACATCTATTTCGTGTGAGCCCAAAGCGTTAAAACAATGATCAGCTACGCCTGAGGTATTGGTCCTACCGTGTTTCAGATGTTATTTTTTTTTTTAAATTCTATCTACGTGCCTTTACTGAAAGACCCAACGAATAAAAACGCTGTTTCTTTCAGACCTTTGTCATCTGGTAGGACGGGCAACATTGTCTTACCCCCGCACCCTCGATTATATAGCGACGTACGGTGCGAAAGAAGTTAACCATACATACGTCCACTTTGGACCCCGTTTCTTTAAAACTCTCTCATCTATTTAAAAAAAAACTACGTTTATTTTACCAGGTAAGACCGAGAGCAATAACTCATCTTTTCAGAAGCGACTTGCTCACAAATGAGATCTCAACGAAGTGGCTTATCACGTGAAAATTTAAAGCAGCCAAATACTCTTAAAGCACGTTTCTAAATTTAGAGAGAAAAACCGGAGGACCCGCAGAAAAATCCACGCGACCACAGGGAGACAGATGTGCAAACTCCAAATACACAGTAGCAGGCGTCAGGGTCGGGATCGAACCCACGACCTCCTGTATACCCGGTGAGATAGTTAACACCTCCGATTATCACAAATGGCTACGCACGGTGTCTAAGAAGTTCGACACACATACAACGTCCACTTTGGACCCAAGCGGTGTCTTTACAAAGTACTTTGCATTCTTGAGAGCGTGAATAAGCGCAGTCAAACATTTCCTGCTTACGAGCTTCGAGGCATCGGTACTCATCACCTCTTTATAGCCAACTGTGGAAACTCCACGTTCATATGGCGGGGGCGAAGTTATCCACACGGAGGACAATGACCATTGAGAAGAAGAATTGAAACGTTTTAACATTTTTATTAGAGGGCATCACCCCCATATTAATTATGATTACAAAATACAAGCCATCCCTTAATAAATGCTCGAGTGGGTTCAGTAGTAATGGTCAGGATATTTACACATGCAGTCACTGTATATCATCATGCCATGTCAGAATAATGGGCAAATTTATCCGCTACACAACTTAGAAAAACAACGACGGCGACCAGAAGAACCGTGAACCCCCGATAACTGGTGAACATTTGACAACTCAAGAGCCTTTTTACCCAGGTGCCAAAAAACATAATCCCGGTGAGAGTGTCACACACCATGAGAGTCACGAATCTTGTGTAGCGCACACACACCCACCAGTGCATTTCCTTTTAGAGAAAGAAAAAAAAGTCCACCCAACAACGAGTGTTGTCACGTTAAGGCTCGGCCGCCAATTATTAACGGTGCGATCAGTTTAAGTGCAAATATATTCAGTGATTCGGGGCGCGGTGACATCGCGCGCACAGTGGAGGGACCTGGCAAGCATCGGGTTTTTACCGGCGTCACGTGCGTAGGCCGTGTTGCCAGCGACGCATCGCTCAACGCGTTGGGCGCGGCGGCAGAGGGGGTGGGGGGGGCGTGCGGTTTCGGCGCAGTCGCACCGCCTGCACACCCGACAAGTACGGTGACGACGCAGGCAGATCGATCGACCGACCGTTCCTTAGCTCATCGGCGAACCACGCTCCGTCAGTACCTTCCGTGGCAAGCGCGGGGGTTGTAGTTTTGTCCGACTTAAATTGTGTACAGACAAGAGGGACAATGCATTATTGTTATCATTCAAATTTAAAGGAGTCGGGCAAAAGTTACTAAAACGTTTACAAAACTGTTCAAGTGCAAGTTTTAATAAACGGACACGGAGAAATCGATGCAAAAACATAACAAGCCAGCATGATTTGCCCATCGTCACGAATTTATGAAATGGTATTGTTGTAGAAATTATCCACTTTTTATTCAATTATATATATATCTTTTTTAAATAATAATGAAAGCTTTTGGGCGAAACGTGAACATTTGTACCGCCGTACTGCAAACACGCAGCAGCCGCGTTGTGTTAGCCGCTGAGGAACTTTGGAACAACAACAACAATAATAATGATTTGTTTTGCGGTGAAAAAAGAAAACAGTGAATATTTTTGTGCTGCTTACAAGGCCAGTTATTTATATAAGAAAAAAAAACATAAAAACATAACATAAAAATACATAACGAAGAAATGGTACAGTTGTTGGGCTAACATATCTTCATATTTTTTGTTATATATATAATACACATTATAAAATACAGTACATCATACAGCGGAATTCTGTAACTACTTCATGCCTTATACAGACAGCTTTAGATTCCTGCACAGAGAGACACGCGCAACTCCTGGAACTCAATCAAGTTGACATAAATATTGCATCTTGAGAACAATGACGCACAGGTTGATACACCTTTGCACCATACATACATACACACACAAAACAAAGTACCGGATCGTCCGTTTTAAACAAACAAACAACAAAACCTGTACCGTTATTCTTTGTCTTTAAGAGCACGGTCAAACAAACGTGCTGGATAGACATTTACAACCAGACGGAGAACAAAAAATAAGCGTGCCACGATCAAAAAAAAAATTCGTTTACGCAGACCTACGTACAGTATTCGGCAAGTATTTGATTTTAGTCTCCTAACGTTCGAGTCTGCAAAGCGAGTCTGTCGCGCTATGGCCATAGGTGATGCGCAAGCATGCCGCCCGTCCTCCTCCTGCTGCTCGCGTAATTCCAATCTCAACGTGGGCAGTGCGAGCCCGTCCATTCGTCCACGACTTTGATCTCATCTTTGACATGATATCTTTGAGGCAGACGTCGTACGGTTCCGCTAAACAATAAGTTAACCTGCGTCTCTCGCAAGCGTACCGAGAGGCGCCTACTTCCGGCGACCGCGCAGCGAGCGCTTGGGTACACGCGTGGGTACGTGCGCGGCACGAACCGTACCGTATAGTACCCGCCTATACACACCCGACGTCGCTCGCGCCTTGCGGGCCGACAGAGTGGGCGCACAGCCACCTTCGGTTACAACGCCCGCTAACGGAAACTTCGTCGCCCCGCCTGCCCCCTGGCATCGGTCGGCGGACAGTGTTTGTGACCTGCAGTCCTGCGGGGTTGGGGGTTTGAAGGGGGGGGGGGAGGTGAACCGAGTGCCAGCAGGTTGCCCCTTCTCGTACGCACGACTCGGGCACCGGGGGTGGTCGTGGGTGGTGGCGTTCGGCAAGCGAGGAGAGTTGTCGGGTGTGCGGAGTGCATAGGTAGGGAGAAAGGAGGTGTGGCAGCTTCAGAGTTGTGCCAAGGAGATCATCGCGGTGGGGGGCGGGGGGGGGGCAGTCGTCCACCCCCTCCTTCGCCCCCCCCCTTCCTCCCCCATCGAACCCTCCCACTACGTTGCCTTGTTGGAGGAGCCGGACGCTCGACGGAGCTTGACCGAGACGCGGCTTCGGGCGGAGCGTGCCGACAGAGGAGACACGGAGTCCGCTACGGTCGCTGCGGTCGCGCTTGGGCCTTCCGCTTGCGGCGGCGATTCTGCAAGGAGCAGCCACCTGCGCTTTACAGGCCACTCGTGACAAAGTGGTAACGAGGCGTAGGAAGCCTGGCAGCCGGACTTGCAGACACACACACACAAAGATCCCCCGTGTAGCCTTAACAGATTGTCGGGGCAAGTGCTGTTAAGCGAGCACCTTCGAAGGCCGGAACGGCACAGGAAGGGGGTGGGTGGCCAGCAACACGCCCAGCCGCCCTATGACAGCACAGTGGCGATGGTGACATGTCACACCAGGTACTCATTTGAGGCAAAGTCGACCTAGGGGAGGCCCAGGACCGGTTGAGATAATCGTCACTCGGGTTGCCAGGTTCATAGCGCAACACGCGAACCGTTGCACTACCCCTCCCCAAAGATCCCCGGATAGCCTTAACAGACTGTTGGGGAAAGTGCTGTGAGCGAGCACTTATAAAGGCGGGCATGGCACACGAAGGGGTGGGTGGCCAGCACCACGCCCGGTTGCCTTTGTCTCCCTAGTGGCGATGTTAACACACCGCACCAGGTACTCGTTTGAGGCCGAGTCGACCTAGGAGATGCCTAGGACGGGTTCAGATAATCGCTATCAATGGTGTTGCTACACTCCCGACACACAGACACTCACAGACACACTCACATAGAAAATACATCTCAAATGCACATTAGGGCTGCCATATTAACAATGGTGTGCTTCAAGTAGCTGAGAACTGCAACTTACTCTAGGTCTCCTCACTTCCCGAACGCAGGGCATTATTGATTGCCTAAGTTACGGAACACACGTTATCACTGCATGCCATTGCGCTTATTAAGGAATCGTCATTCGTAACGCATGACACCAGGTTACCCACGGCGTACGGTCATCGCGGTTGTGCCGTGGAGCTCTCCCGACGCGTTTACGGGGGTTGTGCCACACACGCCGTTCGGCACGACGTCCCCTGCCTGAGGAGCCGCCAGCGCTCGGAGCGAAACGTCGGACGTCGCCCCGAACGGCACGCGGCGCAAAAATCGCTTCACGCTCCGAGAGCCGCCACACGGCCCGCCCGCCGCCGCCGCTCCCTTCCGCTCGCGAACGAAGGCTCCGAGGGTGAAGAATGAAATGTGACATTCAGCGGTGAGTAAAAAATAAAACATGCAAGGCCGTCAAACGATGCTTCGAAAGACAAGACAGCGGACACCACGGGGAGGGATCGCCGCAGCGAGAAACCCAGAACCCCGCCGCCTCCCCCACTCCTGCCAGTCCGCGGCAGCCACCCGGGACGTGACGTGGGGGTGGCGCGGATGGAGGGGGGGCAGGGGGCAAGGGGGGGGGGGGGGGGCGAGTGCTCGGACGAGCCCATTGAGCGCCAGCGAAGCGAGCGCAGGGAGAGCGCGAGCGCCGCCATGCCGGCCAACGCTCGCGCGGTTCTCCAACCCCCCGGGCTCGGGGCTCACAAGACGAGTGCGGGCGTGAGAAGGCGACGCGGTTAGTTAGTGCTGTTAGTTAGCGCAGTTAGCGGGGGGGTTATGCCAACACACATCTTTACGCGGCGGCTCCCAGATCGGAGACACGCGCACGTCGGCGGCGGTTACGATCAAAAAACCAAATGACAGGGGCCCCTCACAGAGAACCGCCGCGGTAAAGACGGATGAATGATGAAGAGGAGGGGGGGGGGGGGGTTCGAGGGGGGGGGGGGGGGTTAAAGAGGCGTTGACCGGTTAATGGAGTTAAGAAGTTTAGTGTTGATTGACCACCGAACAAAGATCTTACCTTGGGGTACTCAGTATTTTAAGCAAAATGATCTAAAGTGGGAAGAAATAAAAAGCGTAATCAAAGAGTAAGGCTACCTACGAGGGATTTGAGATCAAAACAAAACACACGCTTCAATTAGGGCTGCGATTTCACAACGAAATTCCACGTTGACAACTTAAAATGCCGAATGTAAAGCCCTCGCATCAAACCGCTCTGACAATTCGGGCGCATTTTTATTTTATTTTACTTTACAAACTGTCACAGCCATAATTTTTTTACGAACACCATTCAGAGAGATTGAATAAAAGTTAGCAAACACACAATTTGGAGAACGATATATATATTCTTTTCACAAATGGAAAACAATGCATGCCTGAAAATACAACAATGAACTGTCAACACACGTGTGGGTACACATTTGGGGAAGTGTGAACACAGACAAAGGCGGCCGGGTGTGGTGCTGGCCATCACCCACTCGTGTACTGTGCCAGCCTTCGTGGAGGCCTTCATGGGTGCTGCTTGCTAACAACCCTTGCCCCCAAAAGTTTGTGAAGGCTATATGGGGGATCTTTGTCTTCGAAGTGTAAACACACACAAAGATCCCCCATATAGCCTTAACATACTATTGGGGTAAGTGCTGTTTGCCAGCACCTATGAGGGAAGTGTAAACAAAGACGCACACACACAGACCTGTGCCGTGAAATACAGAGCTCATGACAAAACCCAAACTGCAATTTGCCCGATGATGCTGGATGTAATTACCAGCAAAACGTCCTACTCAAAAATTTAAAATGATGTTGATTTACTCTTCAACACACCGGTGGACTAAAGTAGTGAACTATTTGTCTTTTGTCAACGTGACACTTTTTTTTACTGCTTGGCCTTGTTGGGTGGTGGAGGGTTACGACACACTTATAAATAACGCGATCAAAAATAAAAGAAACCTTTCTTATCAATATTGGTCGCGAAAGCCTACGTGTTAAACTGCTCAATTACATCAACTCGAGCTCAATGATTGCCGAGTACTTCCTGCGACGCGTACAGAATGGGAACTTCTATCCATTATACCTTCTGGATTTGAAGTTTCCGTGACTGCAAGGATGCACATACCCACCTCAGGAACTGTTTTCGCTGTTGGTTGTCTCCACCTGATGACGGACGCTTGTGTTGCGCCCGAAAAGTCGTGATTTAATTGTGTTATTTTCATTTTTATTTGTATTATTTTTATTTTCACCTACGTTACTTTACCGAAAAAAACAAAGAGCCATTATACCTTTTCCAACTTCAATAATATTCATTCACGTGGCTTGACAACAACTCCCCCTTACCCCCGTGACCCCGCAGAGTTCACGACTGCCGTAGCACCCTCAAGGAACCAGCAAACTTGGAGCTAACTCTTCTCGTCTCCACTCGTCTACGGCTTTCGTAGCTTAAAACATAAACCGCTGGCATCGTAAACCAAAGAGTGAAGATGTAATATTTTCTTTAAGGCATTATTCTCATCAAGACTTTAACCTAATCCGGCTACGTGTAGAATTCAACGATCAGAACCTCTCTTCCCATTGCTAATTCAAGCAATTAAAAATAAAGAACACGTGTGAAAATGCAGGCACGCTGACATCCCGTCCCAACCAATTAAGAGTCATTGTGCCTCGATGTACATCGAGCGACAAACCGCCGTTGCGGCACGTTCATCGCCACCATCGGCTGGCGCCGTTTCCTTACGCCACACGCTCCATCTACACGCGGCGTGTGCCCATCCCACACGGGCACGGACTCGGCATGGGGCAGACGTCTCCTCTGCATCCCCAGAACGAAGCTCAGGTGCATGGGGCAGCGGATCTCTGGGGCCTTCGCTCAAGTGGCACTCGGCTGATTTTAACTCAGAGCCACTTCTTACCAACACCCACCCCCATTGTCTATTTTAATAACGGCGCAAACGTCGGTCTAGACCAGGGGTGGGGAATGTCCGGCCCGCGGGCCGTCTAAGGTCCGCTAAATCATTTGGTCTGGCCCTGCCAAAGCAACCGCAGGCGGGACTTGAAATTCAATAAATCTAGGAGCAAACCTGGAAAAGCAGTTGCGAGTAGCAACATCATCAATACCGGCTAACATCACACGCCTCATCAAAGAGAAGCAGTTCCTGCCATCACATTAGGGGTGAGTTAATTAAATGTTTGACCAAATATAACAGGCTAATGTTTAACTTGATAATTTTGTATGGCCCGCGAATGATGTTATAAATATCCAAATGGCCCTTGGCAGAAAAAAGGTTCCCTACCCTTGCTCTAGACAAAGCCAAAAACACCGTCGCGTAGATTTTCACGGCGGTTGTGCCGCCCGGCTTCCCCGGCTACCGACGTGTTTTTGTGGTTGCGCCGGGGGGCGCCGTTGTCCCGACGTTTCACTGCACGTGCCGGGGTGAAAACGCACACCGCGGAACAAACGCTCCCAAGCTTCACAGGGGACACGGGGGGTGGCGCGCGGGCGGTGTAAACGCCGTCACGCGCGTTCTGCGTGTCTCTCACCATGCTCAGTTGGCAGGGGCCGCGACGGAGCCGGACACACGAGCTGGAAGGCAAAGTCCTCGAAGCACGTCTGGTCGCGGTGGTGCTGCACGATCGAGTCCAGGTACCGGGCTCGCTCTTCGTAGCTGCGGTGATGGCACTAAGGAGCTTTAGCGGGGGCACGCACGTGCGGCGAATGCGTTTAGTGCTGTTGGCTACGTATGGTTTGAAAGAAGCTCAAGATATAATAAGTACATACGTAATAGCAAATGCGAAGAGATACGGCACGAGAAAAAAACATGATTCTGCAAATGTGCTTCTTTTCATCGATGCTGCTATCAGGGCTGCCCCCCTCCTTTGCAATGTGCAAAGGGATTCCGATTCTACGCCTCGCTATCGCCCTCTGTAAGTGTGCGGTGCCTCCAAGTGCCTGGCATCACCATCACGGACGGCATCTGCTGCCCTGTTGCCGTGTTTCCATAACACTCTGCTCCCCACCACCTGTGAAAGGGCCTCACTCGGGCATCTAAACTGAACTATTTTAATTTTTCCAGGTAAGGCCCACTGAGCTATGGCAGCTATTTTTCAGAAGCGACCTGGCCACAAATGATAGCTCAACGAAGTGGCCTATCGCGTGGAAATTAAATAGCGGCCAAATACTCTAAACGTGTGTTTCTAAATGTGGAGGAAGAAACCAGAGGATTTGGAGAAAAAATCCACGCGACCACAGGGACAGCACGCAAACTCCAAATATACTGGCGTCAGGGTCGGGATCGAACCCACAACCTCTTGCATACCAGGTGAGGTATTTAACATCTTGCCACAGTGGCGCCCCTATCCCTACGGCTCAAACCGGCGTGCGTTTGACAAGAACCGTGGACGCTTCGACGACGTCACGGGGGAGCCGTCACGGCGATGCCTTCACGGCTCCCCCGCCGGACGAACATTCGACCTCCACCGCCAGAGGTGGCACACGGATGGTGGGGGGGGGGGGCGGCCGGGGGCGAGTGACCCGCGGGCGGTCTTCATGAAGGAGGATACAAGCTTTGGTAGAGCGGGATGAGAGTCTTGAGGGCGCGGCTGGCGTTGAGGGCCGTCGCTCGCACCAGCACCGGCAGGATCTTCCCGTCCACGATGGCGCCGTCAAACAAGGGCCCGAAGAATGGCGCCTGCGGGACAAAGGCCCCCTTTGTGTTTAACTCTTTGAATTTTGATTGCGGAGAACGCTGCGAGTGGGCATCCATTTTCCATGATATAGTTTTTTTTGGGTTAGATCGCGTAAATATAAATGCGTCGTTAAACCCGCCACCACTCGACACTGCCAATTACTAAGGTTTGTCACGTAAATAAAACGTGCCAAATCGTTACTGTAATAAAGGTTTTTGGGTTAGATCACGTTATGTATAAATGTGTCGCAACCCTCTACCATCCGACACGGCCAATCAGTAAAAAATGTGTCAAGTTGACAAAAGACAAACAGTTCACTACTTTAGCCCACCGGTGTGTTGAAGAGTGAATCCACAGCAATTACAATTTTTGAGTAGCACGACGTTTCGCTGGTAATTGCATCCAGCATCATCGGACAATTTTCCAGAATAGTGAAGCCCTCCACTTGCTCCCGGTCTTAAATAGAGCAGCAGCAGGGTGACGTCATCATTAAACCCAATCAGATGCAGAGATCAGAGGCGGAGAGGGGTGGGTATTGTAATTATATAATAGATTAGTAATCAGTTAATTGCTATGATTAGTAATCAGTTGTAGATTAGTAATAAGTTGTCATGTGTCTTTTTTAATAACTGAACCAAACACTCTACCCAATCATGTCCTAAAGTAGTGAACTATTTGTCTTTTGTCAACGTGACACATTTTTTACTGATTGGCCATGTCGGGTGGTGGAGGGTTGCGACACGTTTATAAATAACGCGATCTAATACAAAAATCTTTATTATGAATAATACTGGTCGCGAAAGCCTACGGTGTTAAACAAATCGATACTAGTTCAGCACACCGGTGTGATGGAGAATAAGCCCACAACATTTACATTTCGAGAATTATGTTTCGCCGGTAATTACAACCAGCCTCATCAGCCTGTTTATCATCTCCACTGCTGGATGTAGGCCTCTACATGCCGTGCGGATTGTGTTGGTTATTTGACAGTACTTCACCACTATGGGAGCATCGTCGAGTACAACCATTGCTTTTGCTGTACTGCCCTCTGCTGCCTCACAATCTAACCCTGATGCGGTTTATAACACCTGTTTTATGCTTGATGGTTGCCCCCCCCTAAGCACTGTCCAAGGCTTGAACCTCCTTAGCCTTGGAGATATGATAATACCAAGTGGCATTTCTGGATGATTCGGAAGACCAAAACATCATAACAATAATGCCACATTATTCACCCAGGCAATCCACTTCAACTCAGCACTTGCACTGGGATTTTGGCTAACAGACGATATTGGTAATGAGTGGCATGTGGAAGGAACGCAGAGTACCTGGAGAAAACCCAAACATACTAGGGGTAATAGTGGACACCTTCCAGCCCACACCTACAACATCTGGCAAGCCCTGGTGGTCATCCATCAAAGTACCAAACTGGCTCCGTTCCTGTTTGGCCCCAAGATAAGAGAATTTTGTATGCATTTTTAGAGTGATATTAAAAGTATAACCTCCGGTTATCATGGTTGGCTATGTACGGTGTGAAAGAAGTTCAACACACGAACATACAAAATACGTGAATGAGATGGGCATGCCAGTTATCCTGGCTTATGATGGATTAGTCTATGATTGGAACAATTGAAAGAATCGAAAGCGGATTTGTTTTTTTTTAGGGGGGGGGGGTGGTGGTGGCTAATTTTAGTTTTGCGAAATGCAGTGGGGCTGCACTTTTAACGAGCCAGACTGACTTTATATTTTCATTCACTCTCACACGGTTCGTAATCGGGGTGTATATGGGCCCACCCGGTGTTTTTATGTGCCGAGCGACAACGGAAATCAATAGCGGCCTTCGCAAGAACAAAACTGGGAAAAATATCTTAATGCGACGATAAGTGCCTTCTTTCACACTTGTATCGTTCCGTGTTGCAAAGTTATGGCAGGCGCCCCCACCCCCCAACCCCGTCGCGAGCGGGCGTCGCACCTCCGGCTTCTTGATGATCTGGATGCTGAACAGCTGGTTCTTGGTCGGCGTGATGACAATGAGGACGTCGCCAAACTCCGTCGGGATGATGCCCCTTCGGTAATCTCGGCTGTGCTCCGACCAGACGATGTGCACCTCGTCGTTTCCGATGTGGCGCAGCTGCGCAACGGAAAACCAGGTGAAGTTACCGCGTGTGCAGGTTACACGCGCGCGCGCGCGATCAAAAGAAATGAACCGCGACGACGACGACAACGACGATGATTAAAACACGAGCGTTCATCAGCGTTTTCTTCGTTCGGAACCGAGCTATTGTCACGACGGGCCCAGCGGCCTCCGCGATTACCTTCTTGGTCACAGAGTCATCGGACTCGGACGGCATGCGGGTGGACACGTGGAAGATCACCTCCATGGTGGAGGTGGCGTAGTACGGGGTGGAGAAGCCGTTGCTCCTGTTGTGCTGCAGGCCGCCCATGAAGCCGCAGTGCGTGGTGAGATCCACCTGCGACGAACGGCACACACGGTGGCAACGCACGCGCCACCGTCGTTACGCGAGTGCGGGTTCGCGCGGACAAGAACTCGCGGTTTTGAGACCAGTGCTTCGAACGTGTAAAGCGGTCGGCAGATTCACATGCTGACAATAGGTCAACCTGACATATTTTTGTGGTTATGGGAAATATGGCACGTTGCCAAAAACGGATCGCGCGATGGTGAGCGTTCACCAGCGTGCCACGCTGTTCTAGATGACATAAAAAAAAAAGGTTAATTGAGAACAAAAGAGGGGGGGCAGAGGAAATAACTCATTGTCCAGCAGACTCCAAAAATTCACTTTTAAACATTTTATCCCTGAAATATTGTTTCAAACTTACTTGCCCATGCGTGCGTGCGGTCACGCACTGCGGTCGCTGTACACGCGCGTGCCATTGGGAGGTGGGGCTAAAAGCCGATGATGATGAAGACGGCGGCGGTGGCGACGGTGCGGTTAAAAACCATCAACCGCATCCCCCCCCCCCGTGCCAAAAACTGGCCAGGGCCTCACCTCCCAGCCAAGGCCGGCTACAAAATCCTCGTAGGCCCGGCTGCCCCCCTGGTTGGAGAGGATGGAGAGCTTGTCCTCTTGACCCTCCGCCACGTACAGCACGGCGATCTTGTGCGTCTCTCGGCTGCACGCGCACAAAGGACCCAATCACTGCAATGGCTTCGTAAGCAAAAAAAATGAACAAAAAATAAAAAAAATATCAAAAGCAAGCAGCAATCAGTGTCCCAAGACAAACGCATTGATCACCAGGCGTTGGTCAATCCTATCGGCTTTAGAGGACGCGAGAGACGCTGCTTTGTTACTGGAATGGAGACATCACGGTTAAACGGTGCCTCATCAAACGATGAGGCGGGCAAGCAGAATTGCACCCTCCCCCTTGAGGACTCACCATTGTCGCGAGTCGAGGTTTTTCAGCTCCCGCAATAGCTTCTCGTTCTTTTTCAGCAAATCGAAGCTCGGCCTGACACAGCAACAAAGCATTGTTTGATTTTGGGCTATCGAAACAATGCAACGTAACGGGCAAACGCACGCGGGCGAGCAAGCGTTGCAATCTGCGTGACGCGTAAATTCAAGCATCCGCGCGCTGTCACGTTTGTGGACATTAATGGCGCTGCCACATCGCTGTTCGCTGTTGTGAGAGGCGGCACTTGCAGGAACATTTATAAAACAGTAAATTCGGGTCGATTGAGGATACGGAAGGTTGGCTCAGGGGTTATTACCTTCAGCCGGCACCGACCGCGGACACAGGTTCGAATATGGATATCATGCACCCGTGATTAAACTGGGTTCATTAAAGCACAGTGCTAAACGTCTTAGCAGCAAACATCACGACAGAAAAATATTCCAGAGTGAAAATTAAAAGGAAAATACCATAATAACAGCACACACCCTGTCCGTAAACGGATCTCGTTTAGAGTATTATTATACATTTTATTTTGACCTTGGTATCCCTTGCAAAAGACACCCATTTGTCTCAAACCGACTCTTGTTCATGCCTTTTGTCAATCCACTGCTGGATGAGGGCCTCCCCACATCTTTGCAGGTGATAGGGGCTATCTGACCAGGCGAATACGAGACGGTGGCCCTTCATAAACAACGTGAAGAAGCAGTTCTTAAAGGAGCTGTAGTGTTTGCCGACCCCGAGTTCAGTTTCAAACCAACCGACGAATCAACAGTATCACGTGCGCGAGCCGGCTCTCCGTAGCCGTTACCTGCGGTCCCACGAGTGCATGCCCAGGCTGCTGAGGAAGAGCCGGCAGTAGTGGAACGCCGACTGCGGCTCGCGAGCGCCGGGCTCGCACTCGGGCACGGCGCGCATGCACGCGTCGCCCGAGTGGGCGCGCGCGTGCCTCCCCTCCTCCAGCCACTGGGCACGCACCGCCCGGCGCACCTCGCCCTCCAGCTTCTCCGACGAGCACTGCGGCGGCGCGGCGGGCACGTTGAGCGGTGCGCCGGGCCGCTGCAGGCACTCGGGGCTGGTGGAGCCAAGGAAGCGCAGCGTCTCGTCCAGAGCGTCCTGGTCGCGCCCCAGCGTCTCCCAAGACGGCACCGGCAGCGACTCGGCGCAGTCTCCCTCCTGCATGACGGACGATGATGACGACGCCGCAGCCCCCCCCTTCGCTGGCTCGGCCGCTTCCTCCGAGCCGGCCGAGTCGACGTCCGCGTGATCCAGCGAAGCGCTGCCCACCGACGCGGCCGGCCTACGTCCCTGCTGCTGCTTCTGCTGCCGCTGCTGTTCCTGCTCCTGCTGCGGGCAGCAGTGCGCGGGGCCGTACAAAATCGCCGCGTCCCACGAGTACTTCCCCGAGACGTCGCGCACCACGACGCGGACGTTGGACGCGGCGGACGAGGCCAGGCCGGCGGCAACCCCGCCGCCGGGGACGTCCCTCTCGGCAGGGATCTGCAGGCAGGAGAGCAGCGTGCTCTTGTTGAACACAAAGAACTGCAGGTTCGGGTTCTCGAAGAGGTCGGCAGACAGCTCGGCGGCGCTGGCGTGCGGGTTCTCGTGGTGCTCGCGCACCAGGCTGGCGAGCAGCGCTGGCCCGCAGCTCAGCGGGTAGTGGCCCAGGTGGTTGACGAGGTGGACCATGACAGTCCGCGCCGCCAGGGGGATCAGCTCGCGCTGGATACGAGCAGCTCCTGGGAACGACGCACGGCCACCAACACAACCAGCCCCCCCCACCATCCACACCAGGCTTAAGTTGGCGTGGTCCATAGCCGGAAACAATTAGTGTCAATCAGTGAAGGTGCAAAAAAAATGACAACTTTTTACTCATTCCTTCACATGGCCGATAAGAGTGAATTGGTACGAAATGATCTGGTCAATGTTTAATAATAAATTATTATTATAATTCACTGCACTTTGTCAATCCAGTGTGGGAGGAAGACCCTACCCATCACCGTGGCCAAGGACCGGTTCAGATTCCACTTTCCACTGATGGTAGCCGTGGCCGTCATATCAAACTCAAGTGGCCGGGGTCAAAGTGCAGTGTGCTCACCGCCAACTCTCCTCTAAGCCACTGCTCCCCTCCAAATGGCAATCATGTCCAAATATCATAGTTTCAGACCATTACATGAAATCACAATCATAATGTTTTGGCCCATCTCTGGTAGCACAGATATATAAAATATCTAGGCCGGGCCTACGAACTCGTTCGGCTAACCACGCTTTTGTGCGTGCTTGGCAGACAATACAGGGAGTAAGCAGAATTCTCAAGCACAGCGTTGGTTGCATCGTGTTAATTCACAAGAGCCTTGTGAATGAACACGAAAGAAACACCGACAAATCTAAATCGTTAAACGTCACCTCTGATTAGCACGACTGGGTTACGTACGGTGCGAAAGACGTTCAACGTACTTCGACATACGTGCACACAATAGGGGGGGGGGGGGTGGCACCTTAAAGGCACAGATCGCCACCCAGGAAGCCAAAAGGCAGCGCTGCGCACCAGTGTGGTACGTGTGTTGCACTTCTTTCACACCGTACGTAGCCAACATCGTTATTCACGCAGCGTACAGGGAGGCACAATGGCCCTACCTCTCTGGCCTCTGCCCCTTATGTGCTGTGAAGGTGGGACCCCGCCTGAGAAAGTCCAAGGCAAACAAGTGTCCTAAAATGAACGGCAATAATGATTATAAATAAAAGGATAATCGTACCATCGGACACCGTCAGGAGCTTGCTGGACCTGTCCGACTGTGGATAGAGTAGCTCGGGGTCTTTGATTTCGTCCAGGGGCAGTGTGGGATTGTAGTCGACACTGATGAGGTCCTTCAGGGTGAGGGGGCAGTACCTGGGGTTGTTGAAGAAATGGTAGCCGTACACGCAGCTGTAGAGGACCTGCGGGCGCAAAAGGGACCACCGGCAACGCGAGAAAGGTAAACAAAAGTGAGGAACAGTCGCCGCGTTACCATTGGCGATAGCAACTCCTTCCTGACGTAATAATAATAATAAACATTGCAAGGCACATTTTATCCGTAGATCCAAATGCGCCACCGTGTATGGCAAGCAGCGAATGAACAGAACCTGCAGGGTAAACGGCCAGAACTAGGTGGGTAAAGGCCAATTTAAAGAAGTGAGTTTTCAAGACAGACTGAAATATAGCTAACCACTCATTAGCCAACGCAAAGCGTTCAGAAGCTTGGGAGATACACTGGGAGGCACTGAGCAAGAGCGAGAAGGAGACACAGGAAGTGATTAAGTCCCTCCTCCCCCCCCCCCAGGGTTTAAGAGGAAGATTTGGAGACCTGAAAACAGACAGAACCAGGGGTGGAATTGCTCATGGGGAGGGGACTTCCCGAGCAGTGGACCTGGGGAGCCATTCGTATCAGAATCAGAATCTCTATGTATACCGAAGGAATCCGATGAAGAGCTACAAAGCTGTTTCACAGCTGTCCAGTGGTATCGACGGCACGGAGGATCGCTCGCCTTGTAAATGCTGCTGAGCAGCGACACGGAGTGGGGCTTGGAAGCGCCGGCGGGGATCAGCGACTGCAGCAGCGTGTCCACAGGCAGCACCATGCACCAGTCGAGTAGGCACAGCAGCAGCGACACCATTAGCTGGGGGGGGGGGGGGGGGGGGGGAGCCACAAAAACTCACCGCGCGCCACAGGTGCCGCCGTCCGTCACCGCTGGCGAGACGAAGGTGAACTTGACGACTGCGGGATGAGCCGCACGGACCGAGATGCTGCTCGACACCCAGGTGGTGAGGTTAACGCGATGCCGCGCTGTTTACACTGGCTGGATGTCTAAGATCTGTCACAATCCAGAGCAGGGTTAACCTCATTGCTATTTCTCATGCCACGCCACTCTCCACTTTCCACGTCTAATGTTGTTCTCGAATAAAATGAAAATGTCTGCATTTAACACACGAAGATTTTGGAGACTTTTGTTTAGTCGCGAACTGCATGGCATGGATGATGGATAGCTGCCTCGATGTGCTTTTCGGGTTGTGCCGTGCATTGTTCGATGTTTTTCTGCACGTGTCGGGGGGCTTCTGCAGATGGCCCTGTGGAAGCTCCCAGTATGTGGAGCGAAACGTCGGACGTAAAAAAACTAAACAATTTTTACTTTACCATGTTAAACTCACCGAGCTAGAAATATTTTTTTCAGAAGCGACCTGGCCACAAATTATAGCTCGACCAAGTGGCTTATCACGTGGAAATTTATAGCAGCCAAATATTCTAAACGCACGTCGATTAGAAATGTGGAGGGAAAAAACGGAGGATCCAGAGAAAAATCCACGCAACCACAGGGAGAAGAGAACATGCAGACTCCAGATATACAACAGGCGTCAGGGTCGGGATCGAACCCACAACCTCCTGTAGACCAGATGAGGTAACTAACATCTCGCCACCACTGTACCCTCTCACGGCATTGGAGGTGGACAAGACAACTGGAAAAACATACGTAGCAACGCAACTCAAACCACGACTGTGCCAGACGTTTACATTTTGATTTAAAGCTTTCGTGACTGCAGGGATTCATATTCTTGGTTCTTTCGGTAAAGTCACGTAGAAGGGAAATAATAAAATAATATAAATATAAAACAATAAAAATTCTCACGACGTTTCGACTGCAACACAAGCAATCATCATCAGGTGTGGATTTCACACCTGATGATGATTGCTTGTGTTGCATTGCTTGTGTTGCAGTCGAAACGTCGTGAGAATTTTTATTGTTTTGTATTTATATTATTTTATTATTTCCCTTCTACGTGACTTTACCGAAAGAACCAAGAATATGTGCCAGACGTGTTAATTTATCCATTAAGATTAATATTTCCACTCCAAATACATGCATCAAAGAGCGCTATGGCAGCCGTGCTGTTTGTAATTGTATACGCTAAAATACAATTCGACGAACAGAAGAAGAAAAAAGCAAAGGGGGAACACGTACAAGACATTTAACACAAACGAAGCTATACGACGCAGACAGAAAAGGAATTGTGACCGTGACTTTGAACGTTCAACACATCGATGGCAGCGGGGTGGGTGGATGCGGCTCATCACGTGCCCAATATGGTTAAATATACCCACCACTTGAAACCAAAATGCAATAAACAATTACACAAGCAGCAACAATGGAAGCACTGTAAGTGGAGCTGCGCACGTGGATGAATGACATTTAAAATGTAAATCTAATTTTATTTAACAAATGGGGCCAATTAAAACAATTAAAGTCAGGTTCCATGAAAATACCTCGTCAAAACAATCCAACGCAAAACCTCTGAGCACACTTCATGTGTAATAGCCTTTGGAATTTTTTTTTGCGGAAACAAAAAAATGCGTCGCTTTGTTCATTTAAAAAACGATCGCCCACCCTCTTTTCTTGCTCTTGTTGCGAGTGCTCCGCTGCAGGTAACAGGTAAACCATCGTCGCCACCAAAATCTGCAAAGGGGAACGGAAAATACGAATAATCACGTGACGTGAGCTCCCGCGTGACAAATCCGGCAGCGCTGTCACGTTTCTAAAAACCTAATAAAGTGTACGTCGGCAGAGTAAAAACACGCGTGACGTTGTACCCCGATGATTTTCTTTGGCATGTCCACGTGATATTCTATCAGCTTGTCGACGTACGACACCAGCAGGTGCAGGAGGTCGCATGCCACCTGGGCCACGTGCTTGTGGGGGAACTAATGGGGAGACACGAGAGAGCACAAAGGCAACACGAGTCGGACCGGCGCGGCAGCAGTAGCAGCAACAGCATCAGTCACATCCTCCCCAGGAACGGTTACAACAAAGGAGGGACGCTGAAGCATGCATGCGTCAATCACGTGGTGTGGCAGCGGTGTGCGCAATCTACTAACGAGGATGTCGAAGCAACCGGATGTAATAATAGGACCACACGCCTTCCCTTGTACGGCTGGGAACACTGGAGTTGCAGCACTCCGCTCGACAGCCCTTTGTCGATCCACTGCTGGGAGCGAGGTCTCCCCGTGCCGCGTCGGTCACGGAAATTGTTTGACTATACTTCACCGCGCCGGTCGATTGCTCAGGTTGGTTGTCCATGTTTAGGTTTTGTTGCTGTAACCAGGTTTCTATGGTGTTACCGGGTTCTCCATCAAAAATGACCATCTATTGCCCAGTGGGTTTGTATGTGTATGTATGTATGTCGAACTTATTTTTTTGCAACGCACGTAGCCAACCGTGCTCATCTTGAGGTGCGAGTTTGACCTGTGCCAAAATTAAAACCTAAAAAAAAAAATCCTCCGATGGCGTTATCCGTGCTCGTGCATCGAACTCGGGTCGCCAGGATTTGTCGCGCAGCGCGGCGGATCAAACGGATCGCCACCGCCCCTCCCGTGTACGAGTAATAACCGTGGTGAGAACGCAGACGTTACCTTCAACGTTGCACCGATAACATTTAACGCTTCTTTGATAAGGGAGTGCTTCGTCGCATGGGCCAGTTCCTCGCACATCCAAATCCCCACGTTGCACAGCGCTATACACCTGGAAAGAACATGTTATAAAAAATACATTTGAAAATGTAACTGCATGGGGAAAAATTACTCTGACTGTCACATCATATCATACTAGATTAGGAAAAAGCATTGTTCGCTAGCTGGCTGAAGAGAGGTGATGGATGGACACGTGCAAAGGACGTGCAGTCTGCAATATAAGGAACAATGTTTGCTGGCTCACTGGCTGGAGGAAGGGATGCTCATGTTCAATATACAGGTGGGCTGCGAGTAATTTATAGAACAGCCCATGAAGTTTCACTGTTAACATCCCTGAAAGCTATTTGTCAAGCATACATTTTGTGAATATTCATTCAATTCGTTCAACTTTTCTCCGTTATACAGGTTTTTTGCGTTAGATCGCGTAAGGATAAATGTGGCGTTAAACCCGCCACCACCAGACACAGCCAATTAGTAAGGTTTGTCACGTAAACAGAACGTGCCAATTCGTGTAGAGCACGCCGGTTTGTTGGAGAGCAAATCCACAACATTTCCAATCTGAGTACGACATTTCGCCAGTTATTACAACAAGCTTCATCAGGCGGACAGCCAGATTTGTTAACACGAGAAATTAAATTAGTGGAAAGAGCTTAGAAAAACATTTCTAAAACCACATGTGATTAGCTTCGAGATAAAATTTAAGTTCTGCTTACATTTTTGTTATCCTAGTTAATAGGTCAGATGTCATTCATGACTCATCATCAACACCATAGCTTTCTTGTTCCTTTCAATCAGAATGAGCCCTTTCACAGGACGAAAATTACTGCAGCTGCTGAATAGCTCGCAAATGGGCAAATACAATTTGTTCCAACGTACTCACTCCAAACGCAACTCTTGTGTTTGGGATGTTGTCTAAAACGATCCAAGCAACAACCTCGGTGACATGTTGCGGCTCTTACCTTGCAGACACGGAAGGCTCCTCCTTCGCAGACTTCAGCAGGGATTTAATGATGTGCTCCTGGCGGGACATGAAACGAATTACTGCCGCTTGCAATCACAACATCAAAGCCGGCTTTCGAAAATTCAAGCGCCCATTTGTACAGAATATGGAATATGTTAATGCATACATATTTTAGTTTTACATTCATGCATTATCATTGTATCACAAAAAAATACATTTTCATCGAGAGCTCTCGCAACAAGCAGAGCGTCACACTAGTTGCAAACGGTTCCGGGAGAGAACGTTGCATAACTCCTTCTCCAGGCACTTCAATAGGCTTCTTTGGGCACACAAGCGGACCTGATTATTTGATTCTCTGAACGTCAATTAAATGGATTTTCTCATTCTCACCTTTGGACAAACCAAATTCAATACAATGATTTTTTTTTTTTGGTGCAGCCATTTGCTGACCGCCGGGCTGAGACCATCAGCTCACGCTAAACTCGAGAACCCAGTTGGAATCACTCCGTCCAGACTCTGAACCCAGGCATCCCAGCGATGCCGGCTCAAGTCGCTCTCCGCTTTTCCTACTCCACATTTAGAGAAGTGCGTCTAGATTTCGATTTAAAGCTTTCGTGACTGCAGGGATTCATCTTCTTGTTTTTTTTTGGTAAAGTCACGTAGAAGGGAAATAATAAATTTTTTTTTTAAAATAATGTTTTATTTTTATTATTTTATTATTTCCCTTCTACGTGACTTTACCGAAAAAACCAAGAAGATGCGTCTAGATTATTTAGATAATTTTGCCGCTGTGGATTTCCACATGATAGGCCACTTCGTTGAGCTATCAATTTGTGGCCAAGTCGCTTCTGAAAAAGAAAACTAATAGCTCAATGGGCCTTACCTAATAGGATAACAAAAAAAAAATTCGTTTTATTTTTTTATGTGATGTGTTTACCTTCCCTATAATTTGCACTCATTTTGTGTTTTTGTATTATTTGTTGCTGTAACGTTGTGACCCGCCCCTTACTGGACATCCGTGAAAAAACAGCTTCATAGCTCATCGGATTCTTCCAATTCTGATTCTGGCCGCCGAGCCACCGAGTCCACAGCTCGTTATCCCCGTAATTCACGTCAAGTAACCGGCGGGGCGGTGCGCGACTCTCCTTTACCTTCAGGTCCTTGCATGGGATGAGAGCTGTGTCAGTGGCAACGGGCTGCAACACCAACACCTCCTTGTAGAGGTTCGGGAAGCACAGCATGGAGCCGAGCAGCATCTGCGCTTCTGTCCGGGGAGCCTGAAGAGCACCACAGCAGCACGCAGGGTCAAACAGGAGACTGCCGCAATTTCCGACTAAAGGGTCATTAGAAAAACAAAAAAACCCCAGCGTGAAGTAATGGGAGGAGGTGACGAGCACTCACGCTCACGCCCCCCCCCCCGCTCCCCCGCAATTAACCGCTTTTAAAACGGGCGCCGGCAAATCGATGCTCGTGCAGCTGCGTGCGTGGGTGCGTGGAGAGTGGTAGTGTAGCGGTTAGCGCGTCACGCTAAGAACCCTGCGGCCCGAGTTCGATCCCCACTCACGGCCAACACCAGTGACGATTATCTGAACTGATCCTGGGCCTCCCCTACGTCGATTCAGCCTCAAATGAGTACCTGGTGCGATGTGTAAACATCGCCGCTGGGGAGACAAAGGCGGTCGGGCGTGGTGCTGGCCACCCACCACCTTGTGTGCCGCGTCGGCATTCATAGGTGTTCGCTAACAGCACTTGCCCCAACCGTCTGTTCAGGCTATACGGGGATCTTTGTCTTGTCTTGTGGGTGTGTGGGTGTGTGGGTGTGTGTGTGTTGGCGGGCCCCTACATGCACGACCCCGCATGTGGCGACTTTGCTGGCGGCGACGATGAAGTCCCAGAGCAGCAGGGTGCAGCCCGGCAGGCCCAGGGAGAAGATCCGCGGCGAGCAGAACCGGATGATGGTGGACACTGTGTCCTGCAGAATGGCACGTCACAAACGAGAGAAAGAGCACACCCCCCGTATAGCATGAACATACTGTTGGAGCAAGTGCTATTAGTGAGTAGCACCTACTATGGAGGCCGGTGCGGCACACGATGGGGTGGGTGGCCAGCAGCACGCCTGGCTGCCTTTGTCTCCCCAGTGGCGATGTTTACACACCACCGCACCAGGAACTAATTGGAGGCTGAGTCGACCTAGAGGAGGCCCAGCACCAGTTCAGATAATCGTAACCGTTGTTGGCCGTGAGCGGGAATCGAACTCGGGTCGCCGGGTTCGTAGCGCAGCGAGTTAACCGCTATCCTACCGACCGCTCCCCACCGCGACACACACACGTGCGCGCGTGCACAAGAACAATTATCTTGGTCCACAGCAGGGTTTTGTTTTTTTATCGATTTTGCTGCCACACTTCCTTGGGAGTCGATCGACAGGCTGTGCTCGCAAGTGCTGCCCATCCACACTCAGCACGGACCCATTCGGTCAGCCGTCGGCTTGCGCCCGCACCCATTCAATATGAGAAAAAGGCATGGGCGATGTACGCATAGCCGTCAACCCACACGGTTTAACCCCGTATTCTTGTACATGGAAATTGAGTTCTCAGGTGCATACGGCGGACAGCCGATTCAATACGGGCAAAAAAAAATCATCATACGGACAAATAAAAAGCAGCAGCATACAAGATCACAGAGAGTAAGTACGATAAGGTAATATCATTGACACCAATTATCAAAATTAATACGTAAAACTGTTTTTGTTTAGTAACATAATTTTTGTCTATTTGTTCGTGTTTCTCCCTTGTGATGGGACTTTGAAGGATGAACGTTGAGACTCATAAGGGCACGGGGTGACCAATAAGGTCTGAATTGATCTGTGATAAGGTAGGCACTGATAAGGGGTTGACAGTTATGTGTACGGCGCACGGAAAGTGACGCTGGCAATGCTCGGGACGCGGAGCTGAAACATTTGATCGAATAAGACGCTTCTTTGTGTGTGAAGTATCTCCTTGAAGTAGGGCCATTACCCAAAACGTCGCCAATGCAGAACAGGGAGCAGAACATACAAGCTGCACGCAAAAATGTGCCCGAGTCAGGGATTGAACTCAGGTGTTTCCTGCTGCGAGGCACAAGTGCCAACATTGTGCCGCTCCACTGCTCAAATCATGGGACGAGGTGAAAATAAATGGATTCAGACTGGACTTGATATGGGGGGTGGGGGGACTGGGAGTCACCAGTAAGGATGGAGGGGCTGGGGGAAAGGAGCTTCAGTTAATGGGGGGGGCACAGAGGAGAATGAGCGACTTCCCACAGAGAAAAGACCCGGTTGCTGGAGCATGAAAAGCGTGGAGGGGAGTAGGGTCAGATGGGATAGGAGAGGTAGGAGAGTGCATGGAGGGGAGTAGAGTGCGTGGAGGGGAGTAGAGTGAGATGAGAAGGGAGCAGTAGGAGAGTACGTGGAGGGGAGTAGAGTGATGATGAGAAGGGAGCAGTAGGAGAGTGCGTGGAGGGGAGTAGAGTGATGATGAGAGGGGAGAGGTAGAGGAAGTCGTTGAGGGGGGTGAGTAGAGTGAGACGAGAGTCGAGAGTTGGGCCGGGGAGAGTCCCCGGAGTCCACGAAGCATCTTGAAAGAGGAGGTGGTGGCGAGTGAGATCAAGCACCAGGTCAGGGCTGAGCAGGCCCTGGTGCATGATGGAGTAGAAGTGCACGAGGAAGTCGCTGTTGGGCAGCATGTCCTGCTGCCGAGTCATGACTTTGCAGACCAGCTTGTACGCGTGCAGCTTGCCCTGCTTGTAGCGCTCGGGCAGGGCCGTCGCCTGCAATGACGTCAACGCACGCGAAGGGAGGGGGGGGGGGCAGACGGTTAGTTCCCGTCCGTCTCGTTCAGGCTGCGTATCAAACAGCGCATATCGCGTTCCCGTCAAAACGTATTTGATATTACCGGCGGTTATTTTCCAAACTGTGGTCATTGTTTCTGAGTTCCCACCGATGATCGGTCAACCTCGCAGCGGGCTTATGGCTAGCCGTCGAACAAAGACGCTCAACCGCATCGCACGCTTTCAGGTGCGCTTCTGCGGCCGCCTGGGACGTTATTCCTTTCAATATTAGGAAGCCATTGGAGAAATGTAGATTGAAAACTAATTTCTTTAGAACGTTTGTTTGTGTTTGGTTTGTTCTCCTTACCCCGCACCTCCGATTAGCACAGTTGGCTACGTACGGTACGAAAGAAGTCCAACGTACATTATTAGGAGACTCGGTGACATTTCCAGAATGGTGTGGTCGCCGTCACGTGACAACTTTATTAACGGCCATGTCGGCTGGCAGAGGGTTTACTCCAGACACAACGTTTTACTTGTGCGGCAATCTGATGCACAAAAAACAAAAATCTATCGCGAAATCGTAATGTCGTTGGTGAAAGCCCGCTGCACATTAGGACCAGTGCCGGATTAAGCTAGTGCGGGGCCTGTAGTATATGTTATAAAGGGGCCCTAAATAAAAAAACACAAATATGAAAACACGTACATTTTTAACTTGCATAGTAAAGTAATTGTATTCTTTCATTTGCTATACAGCCAGATAATACGACAAATCGCTCACCTTAAACACCCAGTCAGTTCATAAAAGTTGAAGGCGGTATAGTACTAGAGTAATACAGCAAGTGCAGAATTATTGAACCGGAATTGATAGCTTGAAAGCATTTAGCGCGGGGACCTTGAAAGCGCGTGGCCCGTAGCTATACATATGTAGCTACTTTTGCTACGAGGATAATCCGGCACTAGTTAGGATGGGACGGCCGCGCGCAGTCCGTCGACTTGCCCTGAATAGCCACGGCGTGAACATGCGGAGAGGGGGGATGAGCTCGGGCGGCGGCGGTGACCGCTGGTTGTCAAGGCTGATGCCCAGGTTGTCTCTCATCTGCAAAATGACACAAGCACGAGGATACGGGCACCTTCGCTCCTCTCCAACAACAGGTGCAAAACACGCCTCAGCCCAGATCACTTTTAACCTTCCCCACAATTCCCACACTTCCGCTCTACTTTCCCAACTCCACTGGCTCCCTGTGGACTATCGCCGTCTGTTTACCTTTTCTGACTCTCGTCTGTAAATCCCTCCATGGCCTTGCCCTACCGCATCTCGCTTCTCTCATCCGTCACTACTCTGTGCCATCCCGTCCTGTACGCTCCCAGCCTCCACTGTCCCTCTCCGTGTCTCCCTCGCCCCTGCGACCAGTCACACTCTCGCTACGTTTCCCTTCGTGCTCCCCTTCACTGGAACCAACTCCCACCGCACCACACAGAGACATCATGTTCACTGGAACCTGGGGCTTCTGTTGCTCCCTTAAAATCCACCTCTTCTCCTTAGCCCATCATACTGCTACTGCTACTCCCTGTTCCCCAGTTATGACCAGGCCTACCCCAACCCCTATCACTACCCCTATATCACTACCCCCCTATCACTACCCCCCTATCACTACCCCCCTATCACTACCCCCCTATCACTACCCCCCTATCACCACCCCCCTATCACTATCCCTAACACTACCCCTATCACTACCCTCTTATCACTACCCTCCTATCACTACCCCTAACTCTAACACTATCACTGCACCTATCACTATCCCTATCACTAATCCTATCACTACCCCTATTACTATCACTGCACCTATCACTACCCCTACTACTATCACTACCCCTAATGCTACTCCATGCCACTACCCCCCAGCTATGACCAGGCCTACCGCAACCCCTCCTTAACCTCTGCCACCAGTCCTCCTGTCACCATCACTACACCACCACTCTTTATTTCAACCGCTATCATCTTAAGTATAATTGTTGTCAAGCGCCTTGGATTAAGGCGCTCTATAAATCTATATAAGATACGATAACAACAACAGGAACACACAAGGGAGACATGAGACTCTATTTATTAAAGATATCACTGCAATTAACTTGTAAATAAATAATGCTGAGAAATGTAATTAAGAGAATGCCAGGCTCCAGCTTTTAATTGGCAAATAGCAGCGATCACAGCAGTGACTTTTAAGTGCCCTTCATTGTTAAGAAACAAATTAACTCAGGCGGTCACATGATCCATGTGCGAAACCACGACGACGCGCGGGCAAAAATGTTGTTCCACAACAATTAAGCGGGAAAAAATTGTCAATTACTAACAAGACGGATGGATACATATTCCATCGGTTCTGTCAATCAGCGTAATAAACCTTTCAACCGTGCATCGTGTACAAGACTCTAGACCTGTTACAAACGGCGTTAGCTTTACACAGAGCAGTCACCATTTTAACGATACCCAATAGCTTTGTTGAACAGCAAGCAGCCGTGAACTATGAATAAACACATTACCGTTAAAACACAAATAAATACAATCAATCACATCCGGCTAAATTTAACGCTGGCTTGCTGCCCTTTTCCTGTTCATTTCGCTTTCATCATTTTAGCGACGCAGGTCGCTCTCGCTAACGAGACTCTACCCTGGTCTCTCTCTTGCGTCCTCGCCTGGTTACGCAACGAAATCAACCGCAACTCACTGGAAACTTGGCACCCAACCATTGCGGGAACAACGCCTGCTGGCCTGGCCTTACGCCAGGGACAATATTAAACTATTTGAAAAATGTTTCGTTATGTTTTACCAGGTAAGGCCCACTGAACTACGAAGCTCTTTTTCAGAAGTAACCTGGCAATCACAAATGATAGCCCAATTAAGTGGTTTATCGTGTGGAAATTTAGAGCTGCCAAATACTCTAAATGCACGTTGATTCTAAATATTTAGGACTACGGGGTGAGAGAGAGACACACGTGCACATTCCAAATTTACAACAAGCGTCAGGGTCGGGATTGAACCCACGACCTCCTGCACACCAAGCGAGGTCGTTAACATCTCGCCAGGGACACACGAGAGAGGTCACGCACTGACCTTGGCCAGGTTCTGCCAGAGCTCGCAGAGGTAGTCGAGGACTTGCGCGTGGATGTCGGGGTCCTTGATGCTGTTGACGTCGCCCAGGATGCCCAGGACGCGGCGCCACAGGACCGTGGCCACGTCGGGGTGCCAGCCCATGAGCGTGCCGCCCGACATCACGCTGCTGTCCTCTGCCAGGAACTCGCTGCCCTCTGCGTGGAGGGTTGCACGCACGCACGCATGTAAGCACGCCGTGAAGTAGTAGTGGTGGTGGTAATAATTTATAAATGGGAAGCAAATATACCATGTGTTAGGACTTCCCACGGGTGATGCGGATATTTGGTGCGCGAGTGGCGACGTTTCAGAGATGATCCGACCACCGCACCTGTGGCGAACGTCAAACAATCGAACGCATCTTGAACAGATGCCCCCCCCCACCCGCCCCCATCCCCCTTATGTTCACTTGGCCAGGAATCGAACTCCCGTTACCTAGATCGTCGGGCGTCTGCAGCCCTGTGTAGTGCAGCTTGTTGTCATCGGCATGCAGGGGAAGCTCCCGGGCCTCGCGGTGCTCAGGGGCCGACACGCACGGAGATGGAGTGTGCGCGCGCGTGCTAGAGCCAGAGTGGATGGGAGAGCCGCCTTCCTCCGAACCTGCGGGGGGTGTCCAAGGTTCAACACAAACACCGAGTTCCATAAGGCATGACATGAAAGAAAAAATGATAAAATAACCACACACATAAACACAGACGCACCGCGACACGCGGTTGCAATGCATCATGGGATTTCCCAAGATGCCTCGTGGCTGAGTCGACCTATGGCAGGGGCCCAGGTCTGGCTCGGATATAATTTGCCACTGATGTTAGTCGTGGTCTGGAAACAAACGTGGGTCAGCGGGTTCGTAGAGTAGTGGTGCTAACCACTATGCCATCAATGCATCGTGGGTTTTCCCACCCGGTGCGAGGGTGTGTGCGTGCGTGAGTGGCACACATCGCACGGCAGATTGCGACTACCTCCTACACCAACGGGCAATGAAGATTAGCCAAGCCGACCTCGAACCATGGATGGCACTAGTAACACCACTGCCCGTTTGCCTTCATTCACAGGCAGCGTTTCAGATATTCGCCAGGCCACTCCTGAAGCCGCCCATTGGCCGACTCACTCTCACAAAACGCGATGTGGACGTAGAAACGTTGCCGAAGACTCCCCACATCAGATTCTGATTTTGAAAGCCACAAGGAGGGTGGGGGGGGGGTAGAGGCGCGACATGGCGGGTGCGTTCATACCGGTCATGGTGACGGTCTCGGCGGACACGGGCTGCTGGCTCAGGCTGCTCGTCTCCGAGTCGATGTGCATCGTGGTGAGGCTCACCACCTCGTGCTCCTCCTCGCCCGCCGCGTGCGCCGCCGCCGCTGCGTGCGCCGCCTCCACCTCGCTCAGGCTGTAGCCCGTGCTCGTCGACGCTTCGCTGCTGAAGCTGTACCCTGTGCGGCAAAAACGGTAGGCGGCAGCAGTGAAAGGGAAGGCCTCGCTCTGTGTTCACATCGCTCGGCGAGATTCTAATGTTGCAGCACAAAGGCCTTCCCCGCGCCGTGGCGGTCACGGAAATTGTTTGGCCGTTTCTTGGGGCACGCCGGCCAGTGCGTGATGGGATGATGAAGGGGAGGGTCCAGGACCGGTTCAGATATCGCTCGCCGCTTATGTTAGCCGTGGTAGGTGAATCCAATTCGGTATCGCCTGGTTCACACTGCAGCACGCAAAGTCTCTCTGTGACAATACTGGGAGGTTTTTCAACTAGCGCTTAACGCAAGATGCAACCGAAAAAAGAAATATATTTTATTCAGTGGTTACATCCTTTCGCGGTGTACTGCGGCATTCGACAGGCATTTGATTTTGTTCAAGACGCAATTGGCTTAAATGGTTCATAAGTAGTGGCGTACTGCTTTAGCGACACTAACGTGGTATAAGTACCAAGCATTCTCGTACGTCACAATCGGAACGTCGCAACAGCAGCACTGCGCACTTCTGAATGTCACTTTAAAGTACTTTCTTTTTAATCATGAGGCTTTGAGCCCACGCTGGGCAGACCAGGGCACACGCCTAAGCGTATAGGTGCTACGGTAAATCATGTTTTCTCTTGCATCCTACTTAAAGTGAACATATCAGACTAAATCGTTAATAAAGGCAATTAACATATTCGTTGCAATTTCGTGCAATATATCATACCACAAGTGGCGGTGATGTCCCCACGGCACTTGTACCAGGCTAGGTGCACTGAGGCCACTGTGTCGAACGCTCACTGGAAGGAGGTCACGGAACGGACCCAGCTACCATGGGTTGACCGACTGAGATGCCTGTATACACAGTGTCTATGCTGTCTATATATATAAAGACACTCTGATACACAAACACACACAATCACTCTGAAACATACATGACGATTACACTGTGGATACATCGTGATGTGAAGAGGGGCGTTAGTCGGGTCATGCAGGTTGTTACTGAAAAACCCTTGATAGGGTGTCAATGGTGCGCGCACAAGACCATTTCTCACACACAAGCCAAGATGTTTGCTTGTTATTTGTTAACGGTGACGCCACCGTACATGCTCGGGGTGGCAACATTCTCATTCCGCACAAATGGCAGGTCCGTGCCGGTGAGACTGTGGTAGTTAGCACACGCAACCAAAAGGTGTCGTCTGAAAGGTCACCAAAAACAGAGATGCCAGCTCTCCGAAGACGGGGCAAGCTGTTAAACGGAACATAACAAGTGCAAACCGCTCGCACTTTGCAAACGTAGCCTCTGCGCGCGCAAACAACGCGGTTAGTGGAACAAACGGACCCAATAACGGCGGTGGTTGGGCTTCGATTGCTCGTTAGTACAGAGGCATTGTGAGGCCAGGCTACAGTTTGCTCCGAGCATGGATTCGAGTGGAGCAGGAGCGTCATTACCCCTGTGGAAACTCTCCGTCAACTCCGACGGGCTCCAGGGCTCATCCAGTTTGGGGTCCGGCCACTCAAACACGACAAAATCTGAGGACGTGTCAAACCACACTGACTCCAGGCGGCAGTTGCATCCTCAACAAACAAAAAACGAAGCAAACTAATGAATAGAGCAGAACACTCACGTGTCGTAGGGGCGTAGCAATTCGAGTAAAAGTATATCGCTTTGATTCAACTCAAGAATCAATTGTTTATTTTGTACGTGTGTTGAACTTCTTCGCCAACCGTGCTAATCGGAGGTGACATTGTGGTAGGAACTAAATGCAGCGGCATCCATAATTGCTGGGAAGGTCACGTGAACAAATGACATCCATTTAATGAAATAGAATTCGCAGCCCTTTGTCAATCCACTGCTGGATGAAGGCTTCTTCGCACCACCGTGTCTATCATGGCGGTTCTATGACCATTCTTCACCATGCCAGTAAGTGCGCGCTGTTGGGGGGGCACCCCGGAATTGATTTCAGGTATCAATTGTATCCGAGAATCGAGGGCAATGTGCGACAGACAGCGCCACTGCATACAAAAATTCACGAATCTAAAAATATTCATTGTTCCGCGTGCGATTCGACGCATCGCGAGCTTAAGAAGAGACGCCAATCTGTAACCCGGTGCATCGCGACAGTGGTCCTAACGAGGAGGCAGGAGAGAGGGGGAAAGAAAAACCCCAAAACACCATTTCGAAGTCAAAATAAGTCACAGAAAAGTTTAACAAGATACGACGCGGCAAAAAATACTCGGCGACGGAAGGACAGACGGACAGAGGCGTCGAGAGCACGTGCGCACGCACCTTTGGTTTTCATGCCCTCGTGCGGCTGGAAGGCACTGAAGGGCTCGTGCTGGCTATCCTGGCTGGCGTGGCTACTGGGCCGGCACGGGGGGGAGGGCCACTCGAAGGGTGACTCGTGATCCCCGGAGCGGCGCGAGTGGAGCTCGGGGCCTTCGGAAGGGCCCTCGGCGCTGCCGGGGCTGCCACTCGCGTGGTTCGAGGATCGCCGCCTCTGCACGTGCGACGACGACGTCATGGCGACGTCACTGGAGCTCTGCAATGGCGGGTACAAAGACAAAGATTCCCCCGTATAGCCTTAACAGGCCGTTTGGGCAAGTGCTGTTAGCGAGTAGCGCTTGTGAAGACCGGTACGGCGCACGAGGAGGTGGGTGGCTAGCACTACGCCCGGACGCCTTAATCTCCCTGGTGGCGATGTTTACAACACCGCACCAGGTCCTCATTTTAGGCTGAGTCGACCTAGGGGAGGCCCAGGACCGGCTCAGATTTCATCGTCACTGTTGTTGGCCGTGAGCGGGAATCGAACTCGGATCGCCAGGTTCGTAGCAGCGCGCTAACTGCTACACTACCGCTCCTCTACAAGAGCGGATATACACACACACACACTGTGCTTTCAAAATGGCTTTTGTTATTTTGTTTACAATTTGTTTTAATCTTGATTGTGTTATTGGTGTGCCATGTTACACCATGGTCATTCGGAAACTTTCACAGAGGAGTGCAACCGTTATGTGTTGTAGAATGGTCCGCTGAAGCAGATGGCCAGAACTATTTCTGAGTTTCCTTTCGAGTGAGCCCTTGTCGACACAGTAGGGGGGGGGGGGGCAGCAGCTCTCTCACCGTCCCTGCCACACGAGAGTAACGTTCGGTCCCACGACAGCTAAAGCGATACTTTTCAGTCTCAGAGCTAGAATTTAGGCAAATCGTAAGTTGTGTAGCTAACATCTAGTGGCATTTTTGCAGCTATTGATTGGTCAACTGGGCTGAGAACTAAGAACTGCTTCTGCGGACGGACAGTTACACCGCTCTGCGATAGGTGTGAATGGATTCCTCGTCCCACCACACGATGACACCAATAGCACAACTGGGATAACGCAGGGCAAAAGACTTAGACGAAAAAAAACAACAAAAACAAAACAAACACAAAGGGACGGTACTCCGAAATCACAATGACTCGTACGCTGCGCCGTTCCAAGGGTACGGCGAATGGTGGCAAGAGGGGCACCACGGTGGCAAGGAGATGTTGACTACCTCGCCTGGTATCTGGGAGGTCATGGGTTCGATCTCGACCCTGACACCTGCTGCATATTTGGAGTTTGCGTGCCGCTCTCTCTCTCTCTCTCTCCCTCCGTGGTCGCGTGGATTTTTCTCCGGGTCCTCCAGTTTTTCCCAGGTAAGGCACTCACCCCCCCCGCTACCCCTAATGGACGGCCCAGCTCGTAAGTACGCACGGGCACACGCTTGCACTTAAGATTCGGTGACCCGGCAGGCGGCATTTACCACCGCGCTGGCGCTCCGGAGGCGTTCGGCAATGAATTCGTCCATCATGTCGCTGATGTCGCCGCTGGTGGAAGGCGCGTCGGAGAGGAACGTCCGCAGCTGGGCCATGCCATCTTCCTTCATCACTGCAAAGGCGGAGGGGGGGGGGGAAATGCCATCGTCAGTCAGGAAAGGGGTTAAATACATTCTGACCGTGAGATACATGTAATGTTGTTTAAATACAATGCAACAATCGAGTCAGTTTAACACGTAGGCTTTCGCGACCAATGTTATTCATAATCAACGATTTTTGGGTTTAGATCGCGTTTATTTATAAATGTGTCGTGACCCTCCACCACCCGACACGGCCAATCAGTAAAAATGTGTCACGTTGACAAAGACAAATAGTTCACTGCTTTAGCCCACCGGTGTGTTGAAGCAACAACATTTACAATTTGAGTACGACGTTTCGCTGGTAATTGCAACCAGCATCATCGGGCAATTCGCCAGAATGGTGAGGCTCTCCTGTGTCTCCCGTTCTTATATAGAGCAGCAGCAGGGTGACGTCATCATTAACTCGTTAACTCATCAGGTGCAAAGATTCAAGGGGGGAGTGATTGTAATTATATACTAGATTAGTAATCAGGCTATTGTTACGATGCGAGTTGTAGATTAGTAATCATTTGGAATGTGTTTTATTGTGATTATGCTACATTAGTAATCAGTTAGTGGTTGTTTCCCTTATAAGTAATTGTAATGTATCTTATTTAATAATACGCTTCCAGGCCGCACTAAGCCTGTAGCTGTCTGAGCGATTAAAGTTATTTCTGTTTCTCTCAATTTCAATCGATTCTCTAATTAGTCTTTGCCAGTAGTAACTAGTGACTAAAAGAACACCAGAGAAATATTAAACTATCACAAACACAACTGTCGGCAGTAGCAGAACATGCATGCCAACAGGGACACTCAATTGATTTTGACAACGTGGAAGTGTTGTGTAAAACTAGTTACTACTGGCAAAGACTAATTAGAGAATCGATTGAAATTGAGAGAAACAGAAATAACTTTAATCGCTCAGACAGCTACAGGCTTAGTGCGGCCTGGAAGCGTATTATTAAATAAGATACATTACAATTACTTATAAGGGAAACAACCACTAACTGATTACTAATGTAGCATAATCACAATAAAACACATTCCAAATGATTACTAATCTACAACTCGCATCGTAACAATAGCCTGATTACTAATCTAGTATATAATTACAATCACTCCCCCCTTGAATCTTTGCACCTGATGAGTTAACGAGTTAATGATGACGTCACCCTGCTGCTGCTCTATATAAGAACGGGAGACACAGGAGAGCCTCACCATTCTGGCGAATTGCCCGATGATGCTGGTTGCAATTACCAGCGAAACGTCGTACTCAAATTGTAAATGTTGTTGCTTCAACACACCGGTGGGCTAAAGCAGTGAACTATTTGTCTTTGTCAACGTGACACATTTTTACTGATTGGCCGTGTCGGGTGGTGGAGGGTCACGACACATTTATAAATAAACGCGATCTAAACCCAAAAATCGTTGATTATGAACAACAATCGAGTGAAATAATTTCTAATTAGATTTTTAAATTACTTGATTTTGAAGGACTTCATTTATTTGGAATTTGATTCCCAGCCAGCGCATTGAAATATAATTTAGAATTGCTTCATGCTGTTATAAAGAAATGTCCTACATAGCACCTAGAACTCAAGGAGATTCAGATGAGCCTTCTAATTATTTTAACTCTCAACTCTGTACTACGCTATGACATTTGGCAACGAGCCTCATGGTAACCTCTCATAACAGTCCGCAGAAGTACTAAGTAGCGCTACCTTGGAGATGTCTCCAGTCATGACCCAGTTTAACTGAAGTTACTGCTTAATATGGCGCAAAAAAAAAACCTTTTCAAATCGTCCACACGGACAACGGAACTCTCTTTGCTTGCCTTTGACAAACACGGTTAACATCCACGATTGTGCAGAATTTCACAAAGACGGCATCAAAGTAGCGTAATGTATGCCGCATTATGGCTTCGTTTTACAAAGAAGACGGCGCCAATTTATTTTGACTCGCAGCCTTTCAAATTTCCAATCCAGGATGCAGAAAATGCTTCGAGGGAAAACATCATGTGGAGCACTTATGCAAATGACTTCTCAAAAACAGCATGCGATGAAACAGCTGTGCTTGTGATTCACTGAATGTCTCCCTGACGAGAAAAACCTTGACTGTGATGCCACTTTCTCGCTGAACTTTTCCACCATCTCAGTCTCTCTCTACGTAGAGTCGTGCACCCGAGTGATCCGACATCGACCACGCTGCCCCCCCCATTGGGCCTGGAACGATTCGACAAACTGACCCGACTCCTGGCCGTGATCACATTCAAGAATCTTGCCGATGACGTCTCATTTGTTACGCCTCGCTCGTATAGTTTATTACATCCATCTTTGTACCAACGTGTTCGTACCACGAGTCGAAACGTGATGTCAGCAATACCCACTGAGCACGTAATTGATGTAAATCGAGAACGTGAAGATTCTTGCACGCATGACCCAGCGTGTGCATCGAGGGGTAGAAGACTCGATTTGCCACATAAATCGAAAAAACGTCATACGCCCGATGAGCTTCTCCCTATCTATCCATCCATCTATCCGGCCCTCCCGATTGTCGCCGCGCCGGCTCGCGGCTACGACAGAAATCGCACGACGACCTTTGGCCCTCTCCGAGATGAACTGCTCCATGATGTCGGATGCGCTGCTGCTGCGCGGAAGAACCGCCGACGCCGCCGACGGCATCGCCGACGACGCCACTCCCGCCGCATCCTCGGGCTCACCGCGGAATCCGTCGGCCTGGCCGCCCTCGTTCTGCGAGTGGTGGCGAACCCGCAGCGGCTGGCCCTGCTGCGGGGGGTCTGGGTAGTCTGCGGTACAGTTTGTATTTTCCACCCAAAGACAATAGAACTTATTACAGGCCGAACAATACTTTTGCAGACTCTTGAAGCAGAAACTCATTATTGATGTTTGAAGGGCGAGCGCAAACTTTACTTTCTTTTTGCCTGCAAACATGTTGTGGTGTTTTAAAGTAGATGTGCACATTCTTTGCTGAATGCTTCATGGAATTCTATTCATTTGCTACTTCAATTCAGACTCAATGGGTTTTTTTTCCCCTCCCAGACACTTAATGAAAAAACGAAAACTCTTTCAAATGACGCCATGAACAGCCCCAAACCTTCCCCCCTCCCCCGATAAACATCGCTGCGAGTTATAACCAATAGGCCTGAACCCTCATATTATTTTCGCAGACTCTTTTTGTGTAACAACACAAAATCTATTATATTGCACAAAAACTTTCGATGCAACAGATGCTCATTTGAGAGGCCATGAAAATCGCGGTAGACTTGAAATAAAAAAAAACGGGGTCAGTGCGTCAGCGGTGGGAACATTAGAAAACTCGAGTGCGACTAGAACGTATGTATGCACGTTGAACTTCTTTTGCACCATACGTAGCCCAACCGTGCTAATCGGAAGTGTGGAGGGTCAAGGAATTTGAGGAGTGGAGTGGAAGGGGAAAACTTTGGGTGGTGCTTTGCACGGCGCCAAACCACAAAGTGAGACAAGATCCAACGATGGTGAATTATAAACCAAGGTGAGGAGATGTTAAATAAAGGGCGGCTCGGGAGTTCGGCAGAAACATTCGCTGAAACAGTGAAAGGGGTTGGTTGTTGTTAGGCATACAAAGCAGCAATGGAGGTATTCAAACACGGCCAACAAAGCGATTTGCAGCAAGTCACAATAATGGCAGGCATGTTGCAAATGTGAATGCATGCACCTTCCACGGAAGAGAAAAGGCCGATGTGAGCACCGTTGAAATGGAACACGAGCGCGAGTTGAACATTCGCGATGACAATGAGAAGGGCATGGGTGCCCAGATACGTCGAGAGAACATCGCAATGCAATTCCGGACGTGTCACCGGTGAACGTGCAGTAACTAAATGAGACAACTTCTTGGTTCTCATGCTTCGGCCTGGCGTGGAGCGATAGCGCAGTGGTTCACTCACGCCCTGCCCTGAACCCCGGCCAACCCGAGTTGGATTCCCAGCCACGGACAACATTTGTGGCGAGTGCTTTGCCCGAACCGATCCCGGGCTCATCTTCTTGGTTCTTTCGGTAAAGTCACGTAGAAGGGAAATAATAAAATAATAAAATTAGAACATAATAAAATAATTCTCACGACGTTTCGGCCACAACGCAAGCAGCCGTCCTCAGGTGAAGAACAGGTCTGTCGGAAAGACAGCGTCTGAATGGGCACCACCACGCTTGGCAGCGTCGTGAAAATTATTTTATTATGTTTTGCTTTTATTATTTTATTATTTCCCTTCTACATGACTTTACCGAAAGAACCAAGAAGATGAATCCCTGCAGTCACGAAAGCTTTAAATCGAAAATTAAATGAGACAAATGGAGCAGCGAAAAGCACTGGCGGTAGTACACGCCTCTGTGCAGAATCGTAACAATAACAAGGAACAAACATCTGTAAGGGTTTAACGGAGAATAATTGATCGATGTGCAATGATTATTCATTGTCAAAATTAGTTCTCAAGGTCGCGATCCATATGCATTGAGTCGCACATTTAAGAACGGATCCCTTCCAATCCATAGAACGTCGGCGTTCATAGTCAATACAACACCACGTTGGTATTTTGTGTGCGTTAGGACATGTGGTAGCTCAATGTCAAACTTATTGCGTGTTAAAATCAACCGTGCTAATCGTGGTATTGGTGTTGTATCAAGATGGTTTACGTCACCATAGCAGCCACTCGCGGTTGCTGTATTAATCCTAACGTTAAAAAAGGCAAACGATTCTTGAATCGAAACGGGGACCGTTACATCGAGGGAAAATTCGTCGAACCGCTGGGGGTGGACGGAAAGGGAAAATCGTTCCACATCTAATCAGAGCAGTCTATTCCTTACATCGCTCTGAAAGCATAGAGCTCTCCTCACATCAACTGCCTTCAAAAGTCGCAACACATACGCAAGCAAAGCGATGAGAAACCGTACATGAAGCAAGGACAATCTATCATGTTGTTACGTACTCCGTAAAGCGCCACTAGGAAAGCGTCACGTTTTTTTTTTACTATAAACGCCACCGTCAATCACTTCTTAATGGAATTCATTTGGAATATTATATCATAGGTTTGATATCCGGCCTTTGAAGGTTATTGTGTAAAAATGAAACAAAGGGCTTGTAGATTATCATGAGTGGGTCAAAGCCTTTTGATAATAAAACAAAACCAACACAAACCATTCATATTGAAATGCTTATGTGGATGAGAGGCGGTGAACAATTTTTGAGGACAGGATATTAGCACTAGACCCTGGCTCACACATCGCGTTATTTAAAATAATTGAATGCAGTGTGGTGACGCATATTAAATGATTCAAAGACGAAAATTTGACTTAAAAAAAAACTAACAGGACAGATAGCTTCAACTGAATTAATATCATGCTTTCAAATAATGTGTTGACTGGCCACAGTGTACGATAGACAAATTACTAAAAACTAAATTAGTATTGTTAGTAGGGTTCAACCGTACAACAACAAATTTTGAATTGGTAAAAACGCATGTAATGGGTTTTCCGCGTGCTCGTCGAATTTTACATGGTGTTGTTTTTAAAATGCCGCACCGTGCCCTCGCTTTATGCGGGCTCGGATTGTGAGATTTCGCGTGCATGCAGCTAACCGATTTCTACCCGCTCGGCCGTTCGGCAAAAACCCAAAAATACCTACGCAGCAGCAGAAACACTCAACTAAACTATTTTTATTTTACCAGGTAAGGCCCACTGAGCTTTATAGCTCTTTTTCAGAAGCAACCTGGCCACGAGTGATAGGCCAATGAAGTGGCGTATCAAGTGGAAATTTATAGCGGGCCAAATACTATAAACGCATGTTTATAAATGTGGAACGAAAAACCGGAGGAGCCGGAGAAAAATCCACACAAACACGTGGAGAACATGCAAACTCCAAATATACAGCAGGTGTCAGGGTCGGGATCGAACCCACGACCTCCTGCATACCAGGCAAGATAATTAACATCTCACCACCGCGGCGCCCTTCAATGGACGTCTCTCCGCGTTTTCCACACCATACGCCCGATGGAGCTCGTGACGACGCTAATGACGGCGCTCATGACGGCACTCATGATGGCGCTAGTGACGGTGCTAGTGATGGTGCTTGTAACGGCATTCATGATGGTGCTAGTGACGGCGCTAGTGACGGTGCTTGTAATGGCATTCATGATGGTGCTAGTGACGGCGCTAGTGACGGTGCTTGTAAAGGCGCTCATGACGGCGCTTGGGACGGCGCGAGTGACGTACCCACGGTTTTTTGCCGCACGATGCCGCGAGCCTTCTCGGCGCCGGGGGAGCCGGACGTGGTGGCGCTGCGCTGGCGCATCATGGGCTCGGCGGGGTGCGGTGCCTGATCGCGACTCCATCCCCGGGAGAACGACTTGTCCTGCCCTCCGCGGCTCGCCTCCTGGCACAGGCCTGGGCGGGGCGGTGGCACGGTGGAGGAGGGAGAGGGGGTGGTGGCACGGTGGGAGCGCGCATCAGCGACCGTGGCGCAGTGGGGGTCATCTTACCCGTATTCGGGGAGGAGTGTGTGCGTGTGTGTGTGTGTGACTTGCTGGCATATTGTTTATTCTAGCGGGAGAAACTGTGTCCTTGGAAATTACGCAGAGGATGTACTATGGCCATAAGCTTCAAATGTGATGGGGGAAAAAAAAATCAATGCCTTCTGCAACGACCGAGTTAGTACTCCTGGCGCCCCTGAAAATGTCCATTGCAACAAAGGTATGTAGTCTGCATGTTAGGACATTTACTCGACTGACTTTCATCGTACAGAGCACAAGCTCTTTCTGACCGGAAGGATCCAGAAACCTAAGGTGCTCGTGGTGATCTCAGCAAGGCCTACGATCTTTGACCTTGGCAAACAACATTTTCACCATACTCTTTGGTTCTTTTGGTAAAGTCACGTAGGTATATTTACCGAAAGAACCAAAGAGTATGGATTCCTGCAGTCACGAAAGCTTCAATCAAGATTTTCACCATAATAACATGTAATTAATATTACTCATATATATTTATTATTATATATTTTACAGTGGTTATAAAAATGGCTAAACTCTATTCTCGATCACCCGATTTTACAAGCCCAGAGCTGGGAACAGTCTTTTACTACAAAGAAAAAAACCGAGGGAATATTTCAAGGGCGGGAGGTGGGGTGGACGTACGTGTTATTGCATTTCACCCTTTCCCGTTCCGCGACGTCTGCAAGTTGCAGGGTGGGTGGTGTCCCGTTCACTGCTGAATCTCGGAACGCGCAAGAGGCTCGGCGTTACTTTTATTTAGTGAGGCGTAGCGCCGTCGTCACCGCAGAGAACCGTAGCGACACGTGAGCGACACGTGAACGACACGTGAGCGACACGTCAGCGCTCTATAATAGCTGGCGTCAAACTGTGCCACATGCCCTTCCCGCATGGCCTTGTGGGAGCCTCGGTACCAATAACGTGATTTGATTTTAGTTTTCGCTTCCGCTTTCGTTTAGATCGAAAAAAAAAACGATGACGTACACGTGCGTCATCGGAACGGGAAAGGGTTAATCGGCAGTCGAATAGGCAACCGTCACCCGCCTCCCCTCAGTGCCGCCCGCACCTCGCCCCTTGTGTTTCTTCTGCTTCTGCTCGCTGAGCTTGTCGAGGGGCAGGTCGCCGAGCTCCAGCGAGTAGACGTGGCGCGCCAGCACCTTGGTGAGCGTCTCCATCGTCTTGGCCCACTCGGTGATCAGCTCCTCCCAGAGGGTGAGCGCCGACAGCACCGACAGGAGCTCGTCCCAGAGCTCGCGCGTGATGAGCACGTTCAGGCTCGCCTTGATCCAAGCGACGATCAGCGTCTGTCGGGGGGGGGTCACCACCCACCCACGTGCGCCCACCGTGTCACGCCGCGGGCCGTGGAATTCGCCAACTCGTCGGTATAAGAGACCGCCGCTCGCTTGACCCGTCCAACGGTTTTTAAAAGAAAAGTTGAAACGCTGACCCTGTTGTTTAGCCTGGTGTTTACTACAAACCATTTAAAAAGTATTTACAAACAACTGAATTAATTTTACATGCAAGATTTAGATCAGGTTGTTACCAGCAGCTCTACGTCACGTGAGAGTGTAGCTGTAGTTGACACCTGATGATGATGATGCTACTGGATGTAATCTCCAGCGAAAGGTAGTATAAAATAGAAATTTTCTCGCTTTTCAAAATTACAATTTCGTGAAAAGGAGTTTTACAGCTCATCAGATTCCTCCACTATATGTGAATATTCTGATCCCAATTGGCATTCCGTAAAATGGCATTCCACCTACACAATGATCGAACCCAAAATAAACTAATTATGAAAACTAAATTAATGTTACACCAGTGACGGTTGTAGACTAGTCTCGTTATTACTCTTTTAATTGCAAGGTTTTAGAGCTTTAACGGAGGATAATACATACTTTGTGCAAAGGGGCCTCGGTTTTAAGAAAGGCGCCTTTAAAGAAATAAAGTTTGATTGATTAACGCCCCTTACGTGCGAATTTCCGTCACATCCTGTAGCGTATAAACTGTAGCATTTGCACGGTACGAGTAGTCCATCGCGTGCTGGAGTCGCGGTCTAATTATTCACATGCTACTGTTCTAAAAATTACCCGCGGATTACTCATTTGAGATTATTCGTAGCAATCCTTTCCTCTGGCCACATTTGCTGATGAGTTCTCACCTGCTTAAACCAAATAACAAACTTCAACAGTGGCTAATATTATTGACTTGTGTATGTGTATATATGTTGACCTTCTTTCACGCCGTACGTAGCCAACCGTGTTAATCGGAGGTGCGGGGGAAATATTAAAAAAATATACATCAAGCTCACCTGGAATATTGGTCCGGCCAGCTTTCCAGCTAACGTCCTATATTTGGCTTGCTGCGGAAGCTTCCTGAAAACCGTTTCCGCGATCCTCAAAAGAACCAAGAGGAGTTGCTCCCTGTAAACAGTCAACAGCACCATCATTTGACACTCTCGCCCAATCACGATGCAGTCTCGCGCATTCACGAAACCTATTGACGCTTAAATGTATACGTATTTTTTGTTACTTAATCCCATGCTCTGAAACAAATTACATAGAATTGCAGACCCACCGCATTAACTGGTAACAAAAAAAACCAGCTGCTGCTGCCGGTGGCGCCAATGTCTCACCAAGTTTGCTTGTTCATGGACGTGTTCATCACCATGTGCCGGTAGATGTTCAGCACTCGTTTGCACATGTCCACGTGCTCGTCCAGAAGCTTGGGGATGTCATTGCTGGGTTCCAGCAGGAAGACGTTAACCGACGTGGTCAGAAACACCTACGCGCACAGAGACGGGAAGAAACGTCACCGTGCAACGGCGCTCACCCAAGAGAGACGCATTGTTCCAATTACGCAGCCAGCAAGGTTGGCTACGTACGGTACGAAAGAAGTTCAACATACATGCATTACTGCGCCTGTCGTCAATCTACCCCTGGATGTAGGCCGGGGGCTTTCGCGCAGTGTGTCGGTCGTGGGGGTTGACCATACTTCACCCCACACTGAGCAGTGGGGGGTAGGCGAGGGGGGTGGGGGGGTGGATAAAGGAGTGGGACCTCGGGACCGCTGATAGTTATTCATGAGCAGGGAAACTAACTCGGATCGCCGAGTTCATAGGTCAGCGCTATCGCTCCACCAAAGATGCAACGTGAATATTTATTCACTATATCGTAAAAACACAGGCAAATAAAGCCAATGTACGCTTACTAAACATAACATTTTTTATTTACATTTATTTGGCACACAATGGTACGATCGGTTCCTAAAATAAACTGTCTTGAATAAACACACCACGGTGATTGTATACTCGAAGTATAATTTGCAACAGAAGGTAGTTAACAGCTCGCCACGATGGCGAGATCTGGTATACAGGGGGTCATGTGTTTGATCCAAACCCAGACGCCGGTTGTATATTTGGAGTTTGCATGTCTCTCTACTCGTGGTCGCGTGGCTTTTTCCCCGAGTCCTACGGTTTTTCCCTCCACGTTGAGAATCAACATCACGAGTTTTTGCGTATTTGGCAGCTATAAATTTCAACACGACGATAAGCCACTTTGTTGAGCTTACCTTTTGTGATGGCCAGATCACTTCTCAAAAAGACCTCTATAGCTCAAGTGGACCTTAGCTGGTAAAATGACAGACAGACCTGGTTTTCACCTGAGGACGGCTGCTTGCGTTGTGGCTGAAACGTCGTGAGAATTATTTTATGTTTTGTTTTTATTATTTTATTACTTCCCTTCTACGTGACTTTACCGAAAGAACCAAGAAGATGAATCCTTGCAGTTACGAAAGCTTTAAATCGAAATTTAATAGTTTTATAGTTTAGTTTTAATTTAAAGGAAGGCCCTACACACAGATGAGGGCCAAAGGCCTTATCAGCCTCTGGGTTACACGGCCCGTGCACGTGTCAATCTGCTGGAGGGGACGATGACGGGTAGAGGGGGGGGGGGTACGCTCGGGATAGGGCCGCTCACCTGCAAGGTGGCCTGCACCCCCGCATAGAGGCTCTTGTTGCCGTCGTCCATCTCCGACGCTTTGTTGATGGCATCCTCGTAGGAGGAGTTCCGGGTCCAGCTGGGAGTGCGCGCGTGTCCTGCGCCACTTTTACTCGACGGCAGTTTTCTCTGGAAGGGTGAAACGGATGAGCAACCCGAGCTATAAACGCTGCGATGTGTGAATGTTAAACTTTGTTTGTGCCGTACGTAGCCAACCAGGTTCGGGCGGGGGGACAACAAAGGACTGACACTTGCATCGTCTTTGTCCTGTTCTCCTTTTGGCGTTCCCTGGTCTAACACTGGTGAGGCAAGGCCATGAAAAGGCTGTCCTCTGGTCAGTTTCAAAGAAAATTCATATATTATCCGAGCATGTTTTGCCACAAGTCCGTGTGGTTAATGCAGACTTGATGGCTTGTTTGAACATCTTAACACAACTCCTGTTTTTTTGCCAGAAAGGGTAAAACCTCCAAGTTATGTTTCATCAGTAACCTCACCGTCAAAGACAATAGCAGCAAAGTCACATTTCCGCCAATTGCCGAGAACGTGGAGAAGCGCAAAACGAGGAAACGAACCACGCGCACGCATGTCGCCGCAAGGATTAATTTGACTGCCATGAGTCTGCAATAAGCTTCCGTGGATTACAAGAAAAATAGCGAGGGAGAGAAAGTGCGCGGCCACGAGATGCATGTACGTTAAACTTCTTTCGCACCATACGTAGCCAACCGTGCTCATCAGAGGTGCAGGAGATGAATGGTATGGGCAGAACATTCATAGAATATGCGTGGGAGAAAAAAATCATCATCAGGTCTCGGGCCACGAATCGCCATTCAACAGAAACTCTTACACAACCCCCTTTGGTGACAAGCAGCTTGAAAACTAGAAAAGGTCTCACTGTCATCTTCTGCAAATGAGTTTTCGACGTCCACCCACCCCCCCCGCCAAAATTCAATGCATTAAAATAATGCAATAAAGGGGTGATGATCTACATATTCAGGGGGGCGCAATTGCAATCCCAAGAATTAATTCATGTCATTGAAGCCGCCTTGTTGGAATCACGAGCTGTCAAATTCGAAGAGGTCTAATTCAAATTAGGATCATCATGTATTTTCATAATAATTTAGAGCCTTTCAACACAATGCCATTCATCGTTTTTGTGTCTTTTGTTCCCTGCCGTAGATGCAGGTACGACACCTTGAAGATGTGCTATTATTCGCAGAAATATATTAATCTAGACATTTTGTGGTATCATTGCCATCAGGAAAATGGAGCACTCGTTTGACAAACACTGGAACGTGATGATATTTAAAATAAAGCTTAGGTTACGGCAAAGGGCGCAGTTACATTTTACGATGGCACTCATGCCTCATAAGATGCAACGTGAAATACAAATAGCTCTTATCCTGTAGTAATGTTTCTTTGATGTAGCAAGGTAAGCTTGAGAGCCCAGAAAATTTTAAATTTATTTTGTCAACAATTTATATTTTATTTTACCAGGCAACGCCCATTGAGTTACACAGCTCTTTTTTTATATAAGCGACCTGGCCACAAATGGTAGCTCAACGAGAAGTGGATTCTCGTCATGTGTAAATATAGAGCAGCCAAATATCCCAAACGCGTGATGTTGATTCTAAATGTGGAGGGAAAAACCGGAGAACACGGAGATAAATCCACGCGACCACGTGAAGAACACGCAAACTCCAAATATACAGGCGTCAGGGTCGGGATCCAACCCACGACCTCCTATATACCAGGCGAGGGAGTTAACATCCCACCACCGTGGCGCCCCGGGGAATCCACACGAGCCGAGTACTCAGCGAGTCATGGGAGAAAATGTTCTTCCTTCAGACCAGCAAGGTGAAATATGGTCAAACAATGCCCATGGTTGACAGTTACTGCATGGGGAAGGTCTTGATCCAGCAGTGGAGAGACAATTGCTGATGTTTATGATGACAAATGTACGCAAGGCCGTGTGTTCTGGACTGGTTTTTGTGTTATGCCATGAGTCAAATTGATTATCATCAATTCCACCGATAATTATCAGTGGAGTCATCAATTACTTAAATAACAGGATGGCCAAGCTCTCGTGTGTACATTCACTTTGCAAGACGTGGCTTATCATGGACACAGACTGGATGCATCAACAGCAGTGATCCGGCTTTTGGCACTGCAGATGTAAAGCTTTGGAATGCCTTGCCTTTGCTAATAAGATAATAAGAGTCGTTTGATACATTTCAGTCTGTCTTTAAAACTCACCTCTTTAAATTGACCTCTAACCCCCCCCCCCCCCCCCCCCCAAGAGTTCTGGCTGTTGACCACGCAGGTTCTCTTAATTTCCTGCTCTCCATACACGGTGGCGCACTGAGATCGACGAATTAAGTGCGCCTAACAAGCGTCAATTATTATTAGAAACGGACAGCACCACCGTGGATTTCTATCGGCCCCAGCAATGTGCAAAGAGAGGCACCGTCCCCCCCCCCTCCCTACTCGACGTGCGCACGCGCAAATCCCAGTCTTTCCGTCCGAACATGAGCTTCTTTGGATTTCTACCTCGGCTCCGTTGCTGTCGCTCTCCGCCTTCCTGGCCTTGGCGCCGCTGGCCGACGGCGGGCGAAGGTGAGGAGGCGGCGCCTCCTCGGGCTCCTTCATGAAGAGCGGCCGCTCCCCCTGCTGGATCCACTCCTGGTACACGCGCACCACCTTGCGGATGGCTGCCGCCTCGCAGATGGGCAACAGGAAAGCCTGTACACACCACCCCCCCCCCCACCCCGCGCAGAGGAGAGAACCGTGAGGCCCGCGAACACGGTGGCGAGATGTTAACTACCTCGCCTGGTGGACAGGAAGTCGTGGCTTCGAGCCCGACCTCCGACGCCTGTATATTTGGAATTTGCATGTGCTCCCCGTGGTTGCGTGGATTTTTCTGCAGGTCGTCCGGTTTTAGCCTTCCACATTTGGAAACATGCGTTTAGAGTATTTGGCTACTAAAATGTCGTTCACTTCATTGAGCTGTCATTTGTGGCCAGGTCGCTTCTGAAAAAAAGAGCTACATAGCTCAGTGGGCCTTACCTGGAAAAAATAAAAAATAAAAAGAGAGTTTTTTTTAAAGCTTAGAGCGAGTTCAAAAACGTTCAGGTCAATGACGCCGCGCGGCCTTGAAAAGAAAAGGGCGATGTGCCGGGACGACGGCCCTTGTCTCTAGTGTCGGTCGCTGGTGGGTGACCAAGGAGAGCACGTGTTTCTGTACATGCTCCCGTTTGTATTGTCGTTGCTACGAGCTATTTAGCTTTGCCGGGTAAAACAAAAGCATTTAAGTTTGTTCTGTCCCATTTGTTCCGCGAGTCTAAATGTAGCGCGAGAACATAATGGCCATTAATCGTACGTAGTTCGACGCTTTACCCGACGGTGGTCCATACATTGCGCAGCCGGATAAGCAATGAGGTTTCGGCTGCCATGCAATGCAGAGGTCACGTGGGTTTGAATACAAATGATGGTGAAAACACGAAATGTGTTCGCAACAATACTCGGAACAATTGAATACACAATTCCCAGCAGGATCTATTGTGCTGCGAAATTCCACCTTTTTGCGACACAATGCAATCCCACGTGATGCAACGTATGAAAACAATCCACTCCTGCTGCGTAACCATTACACGTGGATGTGAAAGAGGAATGTGGTGGGGAGCTTAGCGCACTGCCGCTGTTAACCCCGTGACCCATTCCAGGTCACGGCAAATACACTATGTAACACGATTTTTGTTCCTGGGTAGTAAGTGCTATTTTCTAAATGCTTATGCCTCAAAAGCATAAAAAATGGCTATTAATCCCCACAAACTTTGCTTTTGTGACCAGGACTTTATGTGAAGGAATAACACAAATGCACACGTTTTCTCATTGAAAATAGGTACATTTCAAAATATCACTGTGCTGGTCACAAAAGTATAGTTTGTGGGGAATAATACCCATTTTCTGTACTTTTGAGGCATAAACATTTAGATAATAACATTTACAACCCAGGAACAAAAATACATTTTTTTTTGCTACACGGTGATATATCAGTGCAATCTACACCCCCCCTCCCCTCCGGCTGCCGCCACCACCAATATAGCCTTCAACAACCCACAGTGACCAGCGTGGTGAAGTATGGTCAATGTAACACGTAGGCTTTCGTGACCAATATTATTCATAATAAAAGGTTTTTGGGTTAGATCGCATTATTTATAGATGTGTCACAACCCTCCACCATCCGACACGGCCAATCAGTAAAAAATTAACCCATAAAAACAAAGTTTTTCACTATAAATCCTTTATATGCGTGGCGGCTAGAGTCCTCTCGTCCTCTGGCTTGAGATGGCTGCCACCTATGGGTCAGATGATTGCCTGCCACCATTAAGCAATTGGTAATTAAATATAATTTATTTTTTCCTAAAAAGTGTAACATTTTGGAAAAAATTTTCACGAAAATACATTGTCACGCACAACGAGTCTGTGTGCAAAATGTCAGCTCGATTGGATCACGGGAAGTGGGTTAAAAAACGACTGAAAGATTTGCATGGTCGTAATCAAGCAAGCAAGTGAACTTAATATAAAGGATTTAAAAAAGTGTCACATTGACAAAAGAGTGGATCCACAACATTTACATTTTTTGAGTAGCACGACGTTTCGCTGGCAATTACATCCAGCATCATCAGGCAATTTGCCAGAATAGTGAAGCCCTCCACTTGCTCTCGGTCTTAAATAGAGCAGCAGCAAGGTGACGTCATCATCTAACCCGATCAGATGCAGAGATCAGAAGCGGAAAGGGGGGTATTGTAATTAAATAATAGATTAGTAATCAGTTAATTGTTACGATTAGTAATCAGTTGTAGATTAGTAATTAGTTGTAATGTGTATCATTTAACAACTGAACCCAATCACTATAACCAATCTGAAGCATATTATTAAATAATACATATTACAATTAATTATAGGGGAAACACTAATTAACCGATTACTAACATAGTATGTAATTACAATAACCCCCCCCCATCCGCCACCTCTGATTTCTGCACCAGATTGGGTTAAATGATGACGTCACCTTGCTGCTGCTCTATTTAAGACCGGGAGCAGGTGGATGGCTTCATTATTCTGGAAAATTGCCCGATGATGCTGGATATAATTACCAGCGAAACGTCGTACTCAACAAATGTCAATGTTGTGCATTCACTCTTCAACACACCAGTGGGCTAAAGTAGTGAACTATTTGTAAATTGTCAAACGTGACACATTTTTTACTGATTGGCCGTGTTGGGTGGTGGAGGGTTATGACACATTTATAAATAACGCGATCTCACCCAAGTATGGTCACGTAATCCATACAACCGACATGGCATGGGGAGAGCTTCATGCAGCAGTGGATTGAAAAAACGGGACATCACAAACATTGTATTCCATCAACACCCGGCCGCCTTTGTCTTCCCAGTTGGGATGTTTACTACACACCGCACCAGGTACTCATTTGAGGATGAGTTGACCTAGGGGAGGCCCAGAATCGGTTCAGATAATCGTCACCGGTGTTGGTCGTGAGCGAGAATCTAACTCGGGTCGACGGGTTCGTAGCGCCGTCGGCGGGTTCGTAGCGCAGTGCGGTAACCGCTGTGCCACCACTCCCCAGACACTTACACAAAGACAAATAACATACATATCGATATGCACACCATACCACTTTACACTGTGACTGTGCAGAAAATTGGCACAGTAGGGGGTACAGCTGGTGCATCTACCGATCATCTAAGTCGGCCAACCCATTGCACCTGGGCCCGTCCCGAGACCTCCTGTTAGCAAGCCTTCGACACTTCATGTGGCCTCAAAGTGCACTTGGCCTGGCACAGGCGCCATGGTGACGTCACCGTCACTTAGTGGCGAATGAGCGGGTATTGGCATAGGTTGTGTGTGTAGGTCAGGGGTCCTCAAACTACGGCCCGCGGGCCACATGCGGCCCGCCGAGGACATTTATCCGGCCCGCCGGGTGTTTTTGCCGGCGCTGCCTGTCACTTTTTTTCTGCATGAGAAGGACGGTCATTGGTGGAAGAGGGAGAGGGGGCGGAGTTTCCCCCAATCAGACTGCATTGATGGGCAGTGCAGTCTGTATGTCTCTGTGTGGGCAAAGTTATTACTGGTATATTGTTTTTGTAGCGCTGTATATATATTGGTATTTTACTAATATCAATTTTGACTCCCTAGGAAACAATGATGTAAAGAAAGAGAAAAATTGACTCGGAGTGTAGGATATTCAAAGAACAGTGGACTTATGATTACTTTTTCATGCAGTACAAGGAAAGAGCTGTGTGTCTGATATGCCAGAATATAGTGTCTGTGTTCAAAGAATACAATTTACGTCAACACTATAAAACTCAACATGAAGATAAATATGCTTGTTTGGTCGGAGAAGTGAGAAAAGATAAAATATTAAAACTGAAAAATACATTAACAACTCAGCGAAATAGTTTTGTGAAGCAGAAGCAGCTAAATATTTCATCACTGCGAGCAAGTTTTCAAGTTTCCAAGCTAATAGCATGCACTGGCAGACCATTCGTGGAGGGAGAATTTGTTAAAGAATGCCTTCTTTCTGTTGCCAAAGAGATGTGTCCAGAGAAGGCCGATTTATTTAGTACAGTGAGTCTTTTAGGACCTACAATTACACGGAGGATTGAAGAAATGGGAGACAATTTGCATCAGCATTTGCAAAACTCCACAAAAAAACTTTCCTATTTTTCCTTGGCACTCGACGAAAGCAATGATGTTCGTGATTCTGCACAACTTCAAATTTTTATTCGTGCGACGAATGACTATTTCGAAGTCACAGAAGAGCTTGCTGCACTGCAAAGCATCAAAGGAACAACTACAGGAGAGGATATCTTTCGATTTAAAGCTTTCGTGACTGCAGGGATTCATCTTCTTGGTTCTTTCGGTAAAGTCACATAGAAGGGAAATAATAAAATAATTCTCACGACGTTTCGGCCACAACGCAAGCAGCCGTCCTCAGGTGAAAACCAGGTCTGTTGGGGAGACAGCGTCTGAATGAAACAGCACACGAGCTTGGAGCATATATAAGCTGGGTTGGAAGCGGGAGAAAGAGCGCCTTGACAAAATAATTTCAATATCAAGAGGAATTTATCATATTTATGGGAAATGCAGGAATGTGATTAGTACTACATATGCCCGTGCTGCATATGTAGTACTAATAACATTCCTGCATGTCCTATAAATATGCTAAATTCCTCTTGATATGCAAATTATTTGTCAAAGCGCTCTTTCCCCCGTTTCCAACCCAGCTTATATATGCTCCAAGCTCGTGTGCTGTTTCATTCAGACGCTGTCTCCCCGACAGACCTGGCTTTCACCTGAGGACGGCTGCTTGCGTTGTGGCCGAAACGTCGTGAGAATTATTTTATTATGTTTTATTTTTATTATTTTATTACTTCCCTTCTACGTGACTTTACCGAAAGAACGAAGAAGAGAGGATATCTATGAAAAGGTTTGCCAAACTGTGAATGGTTTGGAGCTGAACTGGGCTAAACTAGCCAGTGTGACAACTGATGGTGCTCCTAGCATGGTGGGGTCTAAGAAAGGAGTAATTGCTCGCATTAACCAAGAGATGGACAAACATAACCATTCTCATCCAATAGCCATACACTGCCTCATCCACCAACAAGCGCTGTGTAGTAAATCACTGAAGTGGGACTCGGTTATGAAATTTGTGGTATCTTGTGTTAACTTCATTAGAGCTCATGCACTAAACCACAGACAATTTCAAGCATTTCTGTCTGAGCTAAATGTTGACTATGAAGATGTTCTGTATCACACAGAAGTCCGTTGGCTGAGTCGAGGGAGAGTTTTGAAACGTTTCTATGACTTACTTCCACAGATTACAGCTTTTCTGCTTTAAAAAAACAAAGAAGTACCAGAGCTCAATGATGCAGAATGGAAATGGCACCTTGCCTTTCTGACAGATGTAACAGAGCTACTCAACAGTTTCAATGTGCAACTTCAAGGAAAGGGGAAGCTCATCTGTGATATGCAATCACATGTCAAAGCATTTGAAGTAATATTAGGCCTCCTCATCAAACAAGTGAAGGAGGAAAACTTCTGCCATCTCCCCACAACTCAAAATCTGTTAGCGGAAAAACCATTGGTTGCATTCCCAAACAAAACGTGTGGATTCACTGGAAAAATTGCAAAAGGAGTTCCAATTTGGATTTAAAGAGCTTCATCTCCATGAACAGGACATACAGCTTTTCCGTAACCCATTTTCTATTGACATTGAAAATGTGGATACAATTTACCAAATGGAACTGGCTGAACTGCAGAATTGTGACTCTCTGAAAGACGCATTCAAGTCAAGCAGCCTTCATAATTTCTATGCATCTCTCCCCTCTGAGACATATCCTCATCTCAGGAACCATGCACTCAAAATGGCAACCATCTTTGGCAGCACTTATGTCTGTGAACAGACTTTTTCCAGAATGAAACATTTGAAATCTCCAACCAGATCTAGACTAATAGATGCACACTTGCATCACTTGTTACGACTAGCAGTGACAAATATGGAACCGGACATTGACCATCTCATTAGCCAAAAGCAGGCCCATAGTTCCCATTGAAATACTGGCAAGTTTGTTGATTTAACTTTACTTGTTCTTCATTTTAAATATTGTATTTATTCCCGTTTTGTTTCTTCACTTCAAAATAAGATATATGCAGTGTGCATAGGAATTTGTTCATAGTTTTTTTTTTAAACTATAGTCCGGCCCTCCAACGGTCTGAGGGACAGTGAACTGGCCCCCTGTTTAAAAAGTTTGAGGACCCCTGGTGTAGGTCATCCACACTCAGTGCTGCTGCACCACCTCCTGGACAGAGTGGAGCATAGCGCTGATAAATTTGCTCCCCGATCTGACAACCGTCAATCGTTAAAAAAGGGTAAGTCAATGCTGAGCACTTCAAACGCGGTACATTCTAAGCTTTCACTGAGACAATGGTGCACGTTTCTCCAAAGCTCAAGTGCTTAAATTAGAAAATTATTCACGTGAACATGACAATGCTGTGAGCCAAACTAAATAACATGACTTGACAACCAAAAATAATTTCCCTAAATATTTATTCATGCCTAAGTAATTGACTTGACAAACAAAAACACTCCGGCGAAACATTTAAAGAAATGTCAACTATTCTACGGGATACCGTACAAAGTAACGGAAAAAATAACCAGTCTGGCTTACACCCACACTGTAGAATGTAAAAACAGGCAGGAGGGTGACAGGATGGGGAATTAACAAGTTGTGTTTGTATAAACTTGCATGCTATATTGGTGGGGATATGCTTGCTGGAAGCAGCGCTGGGCAGCAAAATCCACAGTTATATATAATCCTTTGCCTTCTTTGTTATTTAAATTATTCGTTTTAATAGTACATACTACAATACCTCAGTTAAAGTCGGCGGGGGGGGATGCGATCCTAAAAGGTGTGATGACAAATATCGAAACGACAAAAATCTCAGCGATTTACAGGGTCGCGTGTGGTGGATGCGAAGGCTGAGAGGCGTCGGATACAACAAAGGACGGACGATGATGTTGTCAGCGATGTCAGCGTGGGGTTGAAACGACGGAAATCAGGCAGCGGTATTAATAATAAAGTTACGACGTATTTGCGAAACGGGAGACGCTACACACACTAACACGCACACGCAACGATGTGCAATGTCACACACACGGGGCGCGGCGCTGCTGACCTGGCGGAAGACTTCGATGACGAAGTTGACGTTCTCGCGCGACGAGTGGAAGACCTTGCGCGCGATCTCGGCGTCCGACAGGTGCTCCTCGTCCACGCTGCACAGGCTGGAGGTGCTGGGCTCGCGCTCCGTCAGCGTGCTCGTGTTCGAGTGCGACTGCTGCTCCTGCCCCTCGGGCTGGGAGCCGCTACCCGCGCCGCCGCCGCCACCTCCACCGCCGCCGCCGCCGCCGGCACTGAGCGCCATCGCTACCCCGGGGCCGCTACCGCCACCGCCACCAACGCCGCCACAGCCACCACCGTTCCCGCCTGTCCCTCCTCCTCCTCCCCCCATCACGCTGTCGCGCGTCTCGCTAACGCACACCCGCTGCTCCTCCGCGATCGCGTAGCCCGCCGCTGCTCGCTTTCGGCCACCAAACGGGAAGAGACGCGCGCGCGCAAGCGTTGAGCAGGCGCGGCGATTGAGCCGTCGCAGCACACGCGGCGCGTGCGTGAGAATTTACAAACGACGACGAGTGCAAAGGGATTGCAAATAAAATTATTTTGTTGTATATAGGCTAACGGTGCAGACACATCTGTACACGTGAAACGGAACAGAGACAATTTTATCCTACCTCCCCTGTCCAGTTATTGTTAAACGGGGGGGGGGTTGGGTAGGGGACAGCCCCCACTGTCATGCCACATGGCAAAGTCAAAGAGCCTTGGACCGAGAGGGCAATTGCTGGCACGGCACACGAGGCGGGGTTTGTGGGTGGCCAGCACGGCCAAGTAATCCACACAACCAACATGGCATGGGGAGAGCTCCATCAAGCAGTGGATTGACAAAGGGACATACATCATTATTAAGTGCATAATGTATCATCAAAAATGTTGTGTTCCAATGGCACCGTGCCTGGCCGCGATATTTACACGTGGGCTTCGCGGTAGCAAGATGTTAACTAACCTCGCCTTATATGCAGGAGGTCGTGGGCTCGATCCCGACCTTGACGCCTGTTGTATATTTGGAGTTTGCATGTTCTATCTCTCCGTGGCCACGTGGATTTTTCTCCGGGTCCTCCGGTTTTTCCCTCCACATTTAGAATCAACATGCGCTTATAATATTTGGCCGCGATAAATTTACACACGTTGATAAGCCACTATCATGTGCGATGGACAGGTCGCTATTGAAAAAGAGCTATACAGCTCAGTGGGCCTTACCTGGGGTAAAATTAAAATAGTTTTTGAATCGTTTAACGGCAGCAGGCGGCTGCAGGAATTTGCCAACGTGTAAACAACGATCAAATTATTTACGTAGCAGGCTTTACAGCAGTGTCTCCTGTTTGCATTTTCAGTGCTGTTTAGTTGAGACAGTCCACAATCACGCGACGCTGACCAACCTGAATGTTCTTTGGCACGTCCTCCCCGTCGACGCCGGGCAGCTTGGGGATGGCGATGGGCTTGGACTCGAGCCAGAAGGCGACGAGCCACTTGACGACGGAGACGCGCGCCGCCAGGAAGGGCTCCTTGGTGCAGTAGATGGCGTGGTTGGTCTCGGCGTCCTTGCCGATGAGGACATAGTGAGGCTTCGACCTCCACTGGGGGATGTCTGCGTGCGGGAGGGCAAAGACAAAGGTCGCCCACCCCCAACACCGTATTGCCTCCCAACAGATTGTTGGGGAAAGTGCCGTTAGCGAGTAGCACCTATGACGGCCCGAACGGCACACGAGGGGGTGGGTGGCCAGCACCGTGGCCGGTTGCCATCGTCTCCCCAGTGGCGATGTTTAGAAACCGTGCGCACCTCCGATTGGCGCGGTTGGCTACGGTGTAAATAAATGTCAACATACATACATGCATTTGAGGCTGAGTCGACCTAGGGGGGGGGCCCGGGACCGGTTCAGATCATAGTCACTGGTTGGTGGCCGTGAGCGGGAATCGAACTCGGATGGCCGAGTTCGTAGCGCAGCGTAGCGCTAACCGCTAACCGCTACGCCACCGCTCCCCACGCACTGGAGAGAGCGCGGAACAATGAACGGCGCTCTTGGGTCGTGGACGCGAAACGCTTGCGCGCGAGTTCACGGTCGCGCCGTCCTTAGTTCCTGGACGAATTTCTGGCACCACAGAGCGAAACGTTGCGACGTCACACGGCCAACAACACGCGGTACAATCCGGAAAACACATCGGAAGCCTGAGCATCTGTTGAGTTCTGTCCATCATTTGTTCCCAAACACATTACAGTTTGGGGAGTTATATTCTCCCGGACACACGGTAATATGCCTCCGGTCTCAACTTGGAGAACTATTGAATTTAAACACACTTTTAACGCAACATCTGCAACTGTTCCAGACGGAGATCAATGCATGCAAACTGACATTGTGAAACATGACATTATTTACATATTCACCATTGCGTTTGACTGGTCGAGATATTCATTGTAATACTTGTAAAGTATTACAATAAAGCACTTGTGCAAGTTATAGAATACAAATATTCATATGCGTGTCATCATGCGCTCACTATGTGCGGATTGATGTCCTGGAGACAGCCTTGCAAATGAGCAGTTCCATCTCAAGAGATTATCCAGGTTCAGTTAATTTTTTTTCATTTATTAGGTATAGCCCTGTGAGCCATGTGGCTCTTGACTCGGGTGCAACCGCAACAAACAAAAACTAAAACGAAGGGACTAAATATGATCGCATCTCAAAATGTTGAACAGAAGTGGGACATGGACATGCTGGGAAAAGGAGACATCTGCTTGTGCGAGAGAAAGTGGTAGGCAGAGGGCTCAGATTATGAAACTAAACGAATATAAACAAAACTATTTCATTTACCAGGTAAAGCTCACTGAGCTATTTCAGAGGTAAACTGGCCACAGATTATAGCTCATCAAAGAGGCTTCACCATCACACGTGGGAATTTATAGTAGTGACCAAATACTCTGAACGATTGTTTCTCAATGTGGAGGGAAAAACCGGAGGGCCCAAACAAAATTCCACGCGACCACTGGGAGAACATGCAAACCTCCAAATATACAACAGGCGTCAGCGTCGGGATTGAACCCACGACCTCCTTGCATACCAGGCAAAGGGGATAACATCTCGCCACCACCCGGCGGCCCACTACAAGGGCAGCAGAGGAAAAAGCCGATGGCTGCTGCCAAAAGGAAAACCGTCACACTTTGGCACAGCGGAAGAAAAAACAAACAAATAGAGCAAACATTTTACATGGCATTTACTGCACTGCTTTCTGTCCTGCACGGATACGCCGGTGAAGAGCAGAATAAAAAAAAAACTACGCACCCAGGTCGCACCTTGTAAAAGAGGCAAGGTTTCACGCGCCTCAATATTTGAACGTGTTCATCTTTCTTAAACAATTCACAATTATTAAAGGTGCACGTGGAACACGTATGTGTCCTGCGCTGCCCAGCGGCTCGCGAAGACGTTGCCAGAAATTTGGCGCCACGCGAAAATAAACATGACCCCACCCTCCGTCCAAAGCAGCAGCGCGTACTTCCTGTCAACAGGCAGAGAGAGGAGAGCACATACCGATGACCGGGTGATACAAGCTGATTTCCCACGAGAAGCCGGGGAAGATGTAAGGCAAGTAGAAGTTTTTGAAGTTTACAAAGAGGAATGCGAATCCCCTCTCCTGATTTTCCTTGTCCCTCCACTCCAAGCTCTTGGCCTGCACAGGGCACAGCAGAGCAGTGTGGTCGGACAAAGACGCTTGTGGCAAGGCTGGTGTCCCGTAAAGTGCCACGCACACCACAGGGCCGTTGGTGAATCCACTGCTGGGTGAAGTTCTCCCCCGGGTCACGGGGGTGGGGGGGTTATCCGAGTTCAGTTTGATTACAAAAATTGTTTAGTTTCATTACATTGTTAGTGACTTGCTTACCTATGCCATACTCCAATCATATTTTTTTTATTGTTTGTTGATTTACTTATACTGGATTCCTTATACTGGATTCCTCCAGCATAAGTAAATATTCTGATTCTGAGTTTATTTCCCCACGCTGGTTGGTGCGGGTTGGTGGAGGCGGACAGCGCAGAAGGAAAGAAATGTAAATGTCAGCACTGTCTTCTGTTACCCAACAGTTATCCTCCCAGCCCGATCACAGCCTGTTTGTGGGTCGTGGAGATGGTCCCCCATCTGAGCACTGTCCACCAGGCTCAACCACGCTCAGTTTCCTACATATGATAACATTGGGCACATTCCGATATATTTGAAGGTGTTTATCTTTCTTAAACAATTCACAGTTATTAAAGGTGCACGTGGAACAAGCCAAGATTTCAGCAGGGCAACCCGAGCTTTTGCTTCATAAAACCTACTATGACATTGTAAAATGGCACGAAACGCCTAAGTAATTGTAATCGCTCACTCAGAAGCAGATGACTCACCTGGTTCACCATGTACTTTAACAGTGCATCCAAGAAGTAGATTGTGGGATCTTCCTGAGCTTTGTCAGATGACTGTGGTGGAATGAGTGGCGTTATCTCTTCCGGAATAACTTGGGCTGCGTGGAAGGAGGAGTGTACAGATGAGTCAATAATGTTCGTCAAGTCGCCGCCGTTTAGCGCGTGATGTTCGCACTAAAACACGGTTTCGCTATAACGCGGTTCTTCCATTAGGGAACACTTTTCGAAGAAAGCGGAACGCGCACACCGTTATAATGCGGAACGCGCACACCGTTATAACGTGGAACGCGATACTGTTATAACGCGAAATGCACACACCGTTATAACGCGGAACGCACACAGTTATAACACGGAACGAGCGCACCGTTATAACGCGGAACGTGCACACCGTTATAATGCCCACACCGTTATAACGCGGTCGATGATGAACTACTTTCTTGAGCTGCACGGCTGAGAGGTACAGTGATACAGTACACACCATCTCATTTTCTGTGTGTACATCGCCAAACTTGTTAAACGAGCACTTCCTGTATATGTTCATGAGAGAAAACCTGAAAGATTCCATGCTTTGTGTTAAAAACCGAATCGCTACTTTCAACTATTGAATTGCACTGGGATTACAGAATGGGAATATTATTTTTTCTGAATGAAGCCGATTAGCTATGCGGATCTTTCTCACAGATTTCCAATGGGGTTCCCTGCTCAAATAAAACGAGGCGGTGCTAATCTCCTCCTATTGACAGACCTAAACCGTTGGTGGAAATTCCACATTATTATGTTGGGGGTGAGTCTATCTAGACAACCACTGTTGACATCTCTACAAAGATGTACCTATTTTATTGACTCTTTTACAGGATGATGGGCTGAACCAAACCCCAAATAACCAGGATTGGAACCCGCGTTGTTGCGATTGCGAGTCGCCCGTTCGACCACTAATCCACCTGGTTGGACATCTAGAAACGATACGTGACTTACACAGGCACATCAGCAACGTGACGCCTAACTGACACCACGTGAATTACATCCGACTCATTATTTTATTGCAGTAAGCCCAGCCTGGTATCTGGTTATGGAGTGGTCTACGTTATTACGCTTTAGTAAGCACGCAGCCTCAGCGCAACAATTAACCGAGGGTGTAATTGGATATGCAGCCAAATTACAGCCGGCTCTCTTTGCGAAGGGTAAATAGAGGTTGTCAGTCACTGTTTCCTTGCTTCTTAATTATATCCATGAACCACTGTACACTTTTGTTTTTCCAAAAACATTTCTGGGTAGAAGTGGAGTGGTTAGAGGGTGCAATGAACACGGCGACCTGAACTCAATTCCCAGTCATGGCGAACATCGGTCGCGAGCCCTATCTGCAACCAGTCCTTGGAACCTGCCGCCCCTACCAACCTCCCCCCCACCTCGCCCCCCCCTTCCACGCACCCCGCCCCCACTTCGCTACCCCCACAGCGCCCCCTGCCCCCTCCCCCCCGCTAGCCATACTACCCCACAGTTACACTGGCGGTAAAGTATGGTCAGAAAATCTTCTGTGACTGGCCAGTCATGGGAAGGCCTTCAAGCGACAAAGAGCTGTAAATCAGCCATTATTACTGGACCCAGTTTGTGGAGGTTTAGGTGCTCGAAAGCACGTCCGCTGCGGAGACGGCGCCATTAAAATTAAAGTTCCCTTGCAGGAGCTGGATGCACTGTTGCATCGTGAGACCGCGAGAAATGTCAGCAGCTGTGGGAGGGAGGCCATCATCCAGCAGTAGATTGATCGCAGCTAAAGACGACGACGCGTGGCTTTTCCCACCGTCCGTAGCGCGAGAGCGCGCACCTGTGCCCTCTTGCAGGGCGAGCGGAGGGTTGATGAGGGTCTCCAGAGAGCGGGGGCCGTGCTCGGACAGGGGCAGGGGAAATCCGGGTATGAGGCAGGCGAAGATCAGCCTCTGCTCCTCCGAGCAGTTTCCCTGAAGAGCCTGGATCCACAGCAGGAAGAGCCGCACCCCTTCACGTCGCAGCTGTCGGGGGTGGGGTCCGGAGGGAGGCGGGGGGGGGCAGGGAACACATGAGAGCCACACGCAACGGGCGACGCGCATCACAAATCCACAACCCAGAGTGAGCAGTGGTGACACCACATGCTCAGATAATAACCAATAGTCATAATTATAAGAATGCATTTCAGCTATTCCAAATTCACCAATGAAGACCTCTCCCCAACGCCGGGCAGTGCGGGTTTGGTGCAGTGGGGGTAGAGACATCGGTTCTGGTATCGTTTGCCACCGATGCTCGCCGCGTCCGGGAATCAAACTAGGGTCGCCGGGTTCATTGCGCAGCGTACTGTAACCACCGCCGTTTCAGATGTCGTTCTGACAAACAACCCCCTCACCACCATTTCAGCGGCCAATGACGGTATTGGCACCATCGCTTTGATTTGTGTAAAGGCGTGCTTTCACTCCGCTTGGTTCGCAACAAATATTGCAAAGTTAAAGCTATCGCAACTTCATTAAGTAGGGACACTGAAAAGTAAAAATGTTCCCAACTTTACGGAAAGATGGCGACTCCCCCTTTAGACAGACATGCATTGTACTTGAAGCAATGAAACTTTGGAACATCTAATATGTACCCACAAACAACACGAGGTTGCATCAAACAGGCTTGTGATAACATTTGTTGTCATCGTCAAAAAGCAAAAACTGTGTAATTGCATTCACAAATTACTATACCACTTTTATTTTCCTCTTTTTATTCAAAGCTACAGCAAATGCACGTACAAGCTAGGCTGTTAAAAAAGCACAAAACACACAAACAAATGCATGTCCAAGCTACAATAAAAAAAACACAGCTTACTTTAAGAGAGTTTCCAGAATGAAGCAGTTTCTTTAAAATGAGCCCTGAAAGAGATGCAGAAGATGACAACACGTTTATTGGAACTAAACAATGCCACGTGGTGTCTGCTCGCGAGTGCATGGGTATCGGCACGGAGCCCATAACGTGATTTTTCTTATCGGCAAAATTTGTGCAACTTATTTTTATTTTACCAGGTAAAGCCGCCCCCCCCCCATTAGCTCTGTTTCAGAGGCGACCTGGCCACACCAGCTCATCGAAGTGGCTTATGTCATCATAAAACGTGGGTATTTAGACTGTCGTAGCAGTTCCAACGATTTAAGCACGCGTAATTTGTTGTTAATGTGCAGGGCAAAATCGGAGGAACCCGGAGAACAATCCACTCGACCACCACTGGGGGGGGGGGGGGGGGGGGGGGGGGGAGAGATCACGCGGACTCCAAATATACAACAGGCACCGCCAAGGTCCGTGGTCGAAGCCACGACCTCCTGAGCAATACCGTACTACACAATTAATGTACAAACCTGAAACAAAAAAGGCACAAATCATAAGACAATAAAAAAAATTTTATTCGTACAATGTGGCGATATCCAAATCGGGTTATAATGCAGTATGGGTTTATCGATTTAAATATATTAGCAAAGTCACAATATTCGAATCAACTGGATTGTGTGCATGCGTGTAAGATTCGCTTGATTTGTACATTATTTTTTATTATTATTATGCTTGTTTACCCAGGAAATCCTCAGTGAGGCTCATGACCCCCCCTTTATCAGGAGGATCCTGACAAGGTTTTTCCAAGTAAGAGGCAGCGATTCCCTTGTACAATCCAAGTAATTTGCAGGTTAATTTCCAAATTTGATTAATTTGGACCATGATACCAGCACACAGTGGCTTACTCGTTTTCGAATGACGGTCCGAGCTGTTGAATGTTCACTGTGAAGCAGACGGTGGGGCTAAGTTACTTATAGGCAACACACCCGCAGTGTTAAACTTTTGATTATACAGGTAAGGAATCAAAGTGCTACATATCTTTTTTTCAGAAGCGACCTGGCCACAAATTATGAATCAAGCAAGTGGCTTATTACGTGAAAATGTATCGTAGCCAAATACCCCTGAATGCATGTTTTAAATGTGGAGGGGAAAAACTGGAGGACCCGGAGAAAAATCCACGCAAACTACCAATATACAACAGGCGTCAGGGTTGGGATCGAACCGACGACCTCCTGCATACCAGGCGAGGTAGTTTTGCCACCGTGGCACCCCGATTAGTCAGGCAGGTCAATGGATTAGAACCGTGGACCTTTGCAACAAAGGTGGCAAAACCACATTACCGCTCAGCCATGTGACGGCACACACACACGTGATTGTTCACACGATGATACCTGCAGCCACTAGAGGCATTACAATGCACCGAAATGCTACAAAAATATCTATTGATTCTTGAATCGAATCATGACCCAGAATGGTGACAATTCATCAGATCGCCGCCCAGGGCATGAATCGTCACACGCCTAGTACCACACGGATTAAACTCTCAGAAACTGTCCATTAATGCTCAAATTCAATATGTTCTCTTTTTTTTTTCAAAATAAGCTTTTAAAAGCCTCTCCTGATTTAAATCACAGAGCACACTTTACTATTAATCTTTTACAGTACGTTTCACAATCGCATAGCGCACTATCGCCTCTCCATAATAACAGGCAATGCTACAGCAGTGATCATAGGCAAAAACAAAAGACAAAGATTCCCCGCATAGCCTGTAACAGACTGTTGGGGCAAGTGCTGATAGCGAGGACCTACGAAGGCCGGCACGGCACACAAGGGATTGGTTGGCCAGCACCACGCCCTAGTGGCGATGTTTACACACTGCACCAGGTACTCATTTGAGGCCGAGTCGACCTAAGGGAGGCCCAGGACCGGTACAGATATTAGTCGCTGGTGTTGGCCGTGAGCTGGAATCGAACTTTGGTCGCCGGGTTAATAGCGCGGCGCGCGAACCGCTGCACCCAAATAAAGGCATCGCACTTAATCGCAAGCGAGCATTCGAACGCCAACCGCAGTAAACACCGAGGAAACGCACCCGAAATCGCACTGACAAAATATTAAGCGGCAGTTATAAATAACGCATTGGGCGGGCCCCGCTGCCTCTTGCAGCTGCGTGAAGCTGCTGCGATGCCGGCCCCGTTCTGGAATGCGACTTCACAGCGAACAAGCACCCAACAAGTCAGCGGCAGGAATGCCCCTCATCAAGCACCAGCGTCGCCACACTGTATAAACCACGCACGCACGCACGCCCGTTATTTTCTCGTGCCACGCTGACTCGCAAACACAATTCAGCTGTGGCGTGTCAGATGTGTGTGCCGGTGGCCGTCGTTTTTTTTGTTTAAACAAGACTCGCACGTGGTGTACAATCCGCTTGTTAGACAAGAACCTCCCCCCAGGGGGCGGGGCAGGGGGGGGATTATTTGACCATATTTCACCACTTTGGTCAGTGCAGGTTTGTGAAAGTAAAAAGAGGTGAGACTGCAGGAGAACAACGCGGCTGTGGATTTTGCCGAACTGCCCCCTTTCCTGGCCACCACGTCGCCCCGCGATGGCGGCCGCCTATAAGCGACCTGTTGGTGCACGGTGGAGGTCACCCATCCAAGCGCTACCCAGGCTCAAACTCGCTTAGCTTGCGAGAGCCTCCGAACAAAATCGCGGTGCGTCCGCCGGGTGATTTGGTCATAGGCTGCAGGGCCACTGTAAATATTTATACACAAGCATAGGGGTGGAGGGGCCAACACCTTTACATCAACACTGAAAATCCAAACAAGAGACACTGCTGTAAAGCCCGTGACATAAATAGCTCGATCGTTGTTTACGCTTGGGAAAATTCCTGCAGCCGCCCGCTGCGGTAAGATTAAAAAAATGCGAAAAATATAAACGATTTTAATTTGACCCCGTAAGGCCCACTGAGCTGTACAGCTCTTTTTCAGAAGTGACCTGGCCACAAATGATAGCTCGACAAAGTGGCTTATCACGTAGAAACTTATAGTAGCCAGATACATACCCTAAACACGTTTCTAAATACGGAGGGAAAAACCGGTAGCCCCAGAGGAAAATACACACGACCATGGGGAGAACATGCAAACTCCAAATATACAGGTGTCAGGGTCGCGATAGAACCCAAAACGACCTCCTCCATATCAGGCGCGGTAGTGAACATCTCGCCACCGCCATACCAAGTGAACACAAACTCGGGGAGCAAGTGAGCGGTGGTGATACTCACGTGGGGGGGAGCAACGCGTGCTTGGTGTATTACTTGCAGGATTGTTGGGGAGCGGTGGTGCAGCGGTCAGTGCACTGCCCTACCAACCCAGCGATGCGGGTTCGATTCCCGTTCACGGCTAACACCAGTGACGATTATCTGAATCGGACCCGGGCCTCCCCTAGGTCGACTCGGCCTCAAATGTGTACCTGGTGCGGTGTTTAGTAAACATCGCCGGCCATCCACACCCCAGTGTGCCGTGCCGGCCTTCATAGGTGCTCGCTAACAGCACTTGCCCCAACAGTGTATTGAGGCTACACGGGGGGGTTGTTGTTTTTCGTACCTATACTGTGGAACTGCCATCTGTTGTGGATCCTCTCGGGCAGCTGCTGGAGAATTTTCTGTCAAACAAAACGAAACGGCACAGATTAATAGAGCGGTAAACAGGGTTCACACATTCGCGGAAAACCAAAAACCCGAGACTGATGTTTCCTATTACTTTTCGCTTACGGTTATATCTCAATCGCACGGTCCCACTTAGGGGTTACATTTAAAATGACGCGAGGCATCGAGGGCTTTAACCGGCAACCCTGCCCCTGTGCTCACCTCTCCGACCTTCTCCAGAACTCCGGTCCTGCCCGGTGTCTAACATCTCCCGTGTTCTCTGAATTATAAGACCCACAATTTTCCTCCCCGCAAACCCCCCCCCCCCCCGTCCACCTGCTGTATGGCAACGCAAATGAAGGGGGTGCGGCATGCATGTGTGACCAGATTTGTATAACTTTAATGACAACGGAAACCAGGTTTGGGGTGCGTCAGATTTTCCGGAGCATCAGACCAGAGAACGCCAAAAGGGGAACAGTAAAAATTCAATTATTTTTGGTGTTCTCTTGTCTGACACTGGTGAGACTAGGACATAAAGAAGGCTGTCTCTGGTGTAGGCCAATCAGTTCAAAAGACAATGCATATCTAAATTATCAGAACATGATTTGTTTGCATGTTCACCACAAGTACGTGTGGTTAATGCAGACTTGATTCCTTGCAAAAGGTTTCCGTTTTGGTGTTTGAACGTCTTAACACCTCCTGTTTTATTGCCAGAAAAAGTAAAACTTATTCTTGTTTTCATACTTTGATACTGGAAAAAATAGTCCCATGTTATATTTGAAAGTGTTGGGGCATTAGTGTACACGGTACTTTATTTAACGCGGGGAAGTTTGAGAAGTGTTTGTTGGGCGTGAAGCCCACTTTACAAACGAAGGCTGCTTCAGGGGATCGTGCTTTCGTCACCAATGACACGTGACGAAGACATATCGATTCTCAACTCGTACGGCACAGCAGTGTTACAGCCCTGCATCAGGGGACAGCCTTGACAGATGACATCGCAATCCACTTCAACAGATCACTGCAACAGACGTCTTTATCCACACACTCGGGGAACGCCGGTCACAGAGAGAAATTTGTCGCACGTCAATCGAGCCAAGTGTTTAGCTCATTCTCAGAGCTGGAAGAAGACAAAGTGCGAGTCATAAAAACCGCATTTAAACTGGGGAGTGTATTTTGAACGGAGTCATTGGTAACCAAGCTGTAGCCATCACTTCACTGCACACGAGTGACTGAAGCATGGATTCGAACCCAGGATCTCAGCAGGCGCTGCCTTGGTGCTCTGGCCTCTTAGCCAACCCGGCCAACCCAACAACATTTTTTCCTCGTTGAACTTGGAAAAAATGTTTCATCTCCTCGGACCGGTCAGACCACTCACAGTTTGTGTAGTAAGCGACGCCAAAACTGCATGTCCACAACTGATGTATGATTTATGCCGCTCTCTTAGCCGCTAGGCCCACCACTCTCTCTCTGGGACTCCGTCCCCACGCAGCTCTGACTGGTCCCCTTCCAAATAGGAAGGAGACGTCACAGCGATACACCACTCCGCTGCTCCCGACATGCTTATCTGGCTTGACCACCTGAATGTGACATTGTAGTTGTTGCTCTGTCAGCCATACGAAAGATGAAGCCAACTCGGCTTCTTCAACATCCCCGTGCCCCCCCCCACCCCCCAGTTCCCTTCCCCTACTCCCTCCCTCCCCCTGTTCCTTTCCTTCCCCCAGTACCTTCCAACCTTAGCCTTCCTCATATAACATCTTCATGTCCCTACACGTGGTCCCCACCTGTACGCGGCAGTGAGCCCGATTTTTCTCCTTTCGTTGGGCCCTGTCGCGACAAAATCGGGTTGCTGTTCGCGGAGTTTCTGTTGACCCCCCCCCCACCGCCGTTCTGTGATCGGCGTTTCGTGCAGAGCTCGCGTCGAGTTGCGATCTGATCTCATCTAGGATTTTATAAGGGTGATGATAGGGAAAGGGAGGGTTTGAGGTTAGGAAGGGGGAGTATGGTTAAGGTTCTAAGAATGCGGACAGGACGTAGCAGAGGGATACGCTATTGAAACAGATGAAAGCATTAAAAAACAAATACATATCCCCGTGCCTTCGGACCCTCCCCCCCCCCGAATCTCTTCCTTTCTCTCCATCTCTCATTCTTTGTGCCTAAATTGCGCGCTCCCAGACGGTTTTGTTACGTCACGGGCACATTACCCGTGTATCGATTGCATTGACAGGTCAATGTTAGTGACTTGTTGCTGTAATTTGGCAACCCCTCCCCTACCGGACATCTGTGAACAAGAGTTTCATAGCTCATCGGATTCCTCCAGGATAAATAAAGATTGTGATAAGTTGTTGTTGTTGTTGTTATTGTTGTTATTGTACACGGACAAAACGATACTCGCCCCGTAACTCAACTTTCCGACCAATGGCAAGCGACGACCCAGGGGACCAAGGTGAATCAGTACCTGCCCGCCGCTCCCACACCCGGGCCACAAAACACCATTTGCTAACCGCACGATGGCAAAACAACACAACGGTAAGCGAGCGTAACGCGAAAACATTAAAGTCACACTCTGCGTAGCCAACTGCCTGTGACCTTGAGTGTGTCGCAACACCAGGCAGTGGATTTTAATGGCTTACACGACTCACTTTTCACCCAAAAGTAACAAAGCGTTTGCCATTTTCACATCTTCACCGTTGATTGCAGCACAAATGAAAACTGCCAACCAAAGAATATGAATGTATTATACCACATGTGTGCACCTTTTCTTTTAACCAAAGGAATAGAAATTCAATGCATCGCGTTCACAACAAACCTGATCGGTGGTAGTCGTCTACCAACGTGTTAAGAAAATTATTTAGCCAACATTCCAAGAAAAATTATATTCATTTTTGGTAAACCACTCTCTCTGATCTGCCTCACAACGTATACTCCAATTTCCAGCGTCATTCCACGAGACGAAGAGACGTCCATTTCCAACGTCCGCAGCTGGCAGTGCACCCCGCTCGTGATGCGTCCGGTCTGAGCCTCACTTGCAGTAATAAAAAAAACATCCCTCGCCTTCGTTTATCGTCCCATCCTTGTGTGCCTCTTCATTTCTTTCAGCCAAAAAACTACAGGCGTGCATCAATCTGATAGCCATTAAGTCCGCGCGTACCTTGCAACTTGCGTTCGACGCTTTCCGCGTCTAAGAGTTCACGTTTCGACAGTAAGCATATGGAATTTTCCGAAAGACACTGCGCTCACTTTGCGCCCGCAAGGAAATGTTTTGCGATGCTTCGAGTGCGTACGCAGCGAGCAGCGACATTCGTGCCGATCTCAATATAGCGTAACCATCTGCTTCAGTGAAAACCGAAGTGTTAATAACTCAGGAGGTAATTTATAGAGCAGTATATACCGGGCAAGATCAACGGCCACGGAATATCTTGAATTCGGGGGAAAAGGTAAAAAAAGAAAGGTGAATCAATTTTTCTTCCATTTTTTTGTGGCAAACACTTAAGGTTGTAATAGGCCCATGAAGTAAATGCAATTCATGCACAGGGCGGTGTAATCAAAAAGGCGGTTAAAAGTTTAGGAGAGCTATACAAAAATGAACACAGTTGTCAAGTTAATCATTTTGTTTGCCAAATTACGAGCAAGGCAGACCATTCGAATCGTGAAAAAATTAGTCTGTGACAAACACGCCAACATAAAATCAATAACAATGCAAAAAATATCTCCCACCTCGAAGATAAAGAGAATTGATTCCAACTCTTCCCTCTGAGACTTGTGACCTGCAAGAATAATAACATTAGCTGCCTTATAGTGGCACACAAAGACAAAGATCCCCCGTACAGCCTGTAACAGACTGCTGGGGCAAGTGCTGTTAGCGAGCACCTATGAAGGCCAGAACGGCACACGAGGGGGTGGGTGGCCAGCACCACGCCCTGTTGCCTTTGTCTCCCCAGTGTCGATGTTTACACACAACGCACCAGGTACTTATTTGATGCCGAGTCGACCTAGGGGAGGCCCAGGACCGGCTCAGATAATCGTAATTGGTGTTGGCCATAAGCGGGAACCGAACTCGGATCGCCTGGTTCGTAGCGCAGCGCGCTAACCGCTGCACCACCGTTCCCCATACATACACATACACATGGGATTGCAGAACCGGTTCTGTGCTCCATTATCAAACGTGAAAGAAAAAATTCAATTCAACAATAAATGCGGTTAAGGTGATGGTTGTAAGCCAAGAGAAAACAGTCACTCTGTACATGCCCACAAATGGTAAAACTGTCAAAACAATCGCAGATGTACGCACATTTAAGTGGCGCTGTTTGTTCACAGCCACACGACAAAGTCCTGTAACACTCTGAACAGGGAATTCTTTCCACATTGCAACCATTGCCCAAAGAGACATCCACTCAAGAGGCTGCCCCTAGAACATTCAGTCCTGAAATCCATCAGGTGAACACACAACGGGGGACACCTGTTAATAATGAGTAAATTTTGTCTCGCGTACAAAAGGTCTGGTTATTCCGAGCTTAGTTGATGCTCAAACAAGATAATAATGATACACTGCGACGACACGACAAATGCTCCCTGCGGGAAAATATATAAAGGAGGATGAAGCTGAAATGTTAAACCAGCGTGAATCCTCAACAGAATGGAATGCCGTGAAACGATGTTTGTACGATGTTTGGCTCAGTAGAATGTTTGTGTTAAGTTTGTTGTTCTTCCCGGGGCACCTCGGATTAGCGCAGTTGGCTACGTAACTTGCTGTACTGCCATTTCCTGACTATCTCTCGGGCCAAGCCTGCAACACTTGCTATTTTACAGGCAATCTAAAATTCTCGGCATAACCAAGATTAACCCTGCTCGGCATTTAAAAGATCCGGCAAGATTAGGCCCAATCACAGGCCGATTCTTGTGGTTTACCCCAGCACTGTACCCCGAGGAACCAGATCCACGGAAGGTGAAAAATGGGTGGTTTTTTTCCCCCTTTTGAACGAAGCCAACCACGTTAATCGGAGGTCCGGGGAGGGGGGGGGATGACAAAAAAACAAAACCCAAAGAGCAATCTCCCCTTGGGGAGATTAAGTTTGAAACGCATGCAATGGCACCACCCCACCCCAGGTTACAAGGCGGCCGTGTTGTGTGCGGTTTTGGCACTCACCCTTCTGCTTGAGGCTGGCCTCAATGCTGACGAAATTCTCAAAGAACACGTAGTAGACGTGCGAGTAGTTGAACTCCAAGAACTGCTTGAGTTCACCTTGGTCCGCGGTGTCTGCAAGGCAACGGATTGGAAAACGGCACAACTCAAGGTTCAAGTGTATATTTTTTTATCTAGGCAGGTGAGAGCGCTGAAGAGAACAGGGACCAGTCTCAGTTAAACTCTAAACCATTTTTATTTTACCAGGTACGGACCGCTTAGTTCTATAGCACTTTTCCAGAAGAGACCTGGCCACAAATGATAGCTCGATGAGATGCCTTATAAAAATGTGAACATTTACAGCAGCTAAATACTCTAATCGCATTTTTCTAAATGAGGGAAAAACCGGAGCCACCCGGAGCACCCGGAGAAAAACCCACACGACCACAGGGAAAATGCAAACTACAAATATACAACAAGCGTCAAAGTTGGGATCGAACGTACGATCTCCTGTATACCAGGCGAGGTAGTTAACATCTCGCCACCGTGGTACCCTTGAGTTGCAAGTGACCCAGGGCAGCCAGTATGGGGTGATGATTGTCGCCATGCGTGTGTAACTTTAGTCAAACCGATGTAATTTAATTGATAACTAGCTTTACTACCCGGCTTCGCCCGGGACTTGGATTCTTGTCTTGGATTAATACACGGCCTGCGCGGAGGGTGGGAGGGAATGTGTCACGTCGGCAGGCACACTGTGTGACGCTGCTGCATGCGGGTGACATTACAGATGTGACGTCACCGCTCACTTGTCGTGCAATATATTATATCTATTATTCCCCCCCCCCTCCAAAATTTAAAAAAGTATATTTTATACGTTTTGCATTGTGTGCAGTCTGGAAGCTACCCACATGCTAAATTTCCAGTTTTTTGCATGTCGGGAAGTATGCTAAACATTTCGAAGAAACAAACATATTCACAAATTTCCCTTTTATATATATATAGATAAAGAGTGAATTATTCAATAACCCACTCATTGGAAACTTTAAAAGTTATGCCACCTCTGGCGGTGCCTACCGACAAATAGAATATTTGGTCCGGGATCATGGACGATTATTACGTTTCTTTACACCCACGGTATTAATCAGGGAGGCCCGCTGGATTCGAACCGTGAGGCTCTGCAAGGAGCAGGCGAACGCATCCCCGCAAGGCGACGTCAAAAGCCCGTAAACACAAAGCAGGCAAGAGCAGTCACAGGTTCCTCCAAAATAATTTCCCAACGTGGCCACTCCTGTGCTGTTGAGATTACGAGGCCCTTAAACAAAAGCAAGCGCTGCAATTTAAACTTCCTGGAAACTCTTGCCAAAGCTGGTGTTCGCATCAGATTCAGATGTGTGGTTTTAGACGGCTCACATTTAAAAAAACTACAAAGTAAAAAAATCATACCGGACCTCCGTACCTGTAATGCTGAAATTACCACGTTAGCATTTCGGCAATCGCTGCGCACACCGAGAATGTTGCTTGCGGATAATGGAACTATTCACACTGCACGTTTCAATCCAGGACACGATACACGTTATCTCCGTTTTAATAACATTGGCAGGAGATCAGACCATGGCTGGCACACTCTTTTATTCGTGGAATTTATTATTTAATTACAATCCTGCAATGCTTTGTGGAATATAGATATATTTTTTCACTTGTTCAACATTCAATTTTACAGAGGCACATGCAGCGTGCTCAACATATTCGCGTAGACTTTGAGATTGTTCATGGCTAAAAACCGTAGCGCAGATAAGGCACCTGCTGTAAATGTCAAAAAATATATCAAGTGGGAAAGAAAATAGTTTTAAACCAAGGTGGAAAAGTAAAACGTGTCGCAGCAGGAGCTCCAGTTTCTAACTTAAATCGTGAAAACTATTAAATCAAATCACGTGATGTAAAGAATATACAGCGCATCGTAAACACCACTAAGGAGTAAGAAGTATAACTAGTTTTAACGACAACAAATTACATAACTGCTTAAAGATATACTCATGCGCTCCACAGTGCCGCGTATCCGCGCAAGATAAAAGTCGATGTTCTGTCAGCCCCAGGCGCACGTAACCTATCGCGCCGGGCATTTACTCCGCAAGCTGAAAACGCCCATCTGGAAACCATCAGAGGTTTTTTTTTTTTTACGTCAAAATTATTTTCGTTGCAGGCAAACCGTATTATGGGAAGGGCACCCGTTAATATACTCGCGCGTTTTCGAGCCGCAATAACCGGGGGGTAATAGGAATCGCTGAAAGGGTCCCCTCTGTATGCCTGGTGATGCAGTGCCCCCCCCCCCCCACCACCGCACGATCTGGCAACGCAGATGGTAGATATTACCTGCGAACAAGGTTGCAACTGATAAAGCCGCCGGGAGCACGTACGTGCCACCACCTTCTGCGGTGGCCTCGTTCAAACTATAAACAAAAATGCTTTATTTTACTGGGTGAAGCCCACTGAGCCATACAGCTCATTTTTTCAGAAGCGACCTGACCACAAATGATAGCTTGACGAAGTGAATAATCAAGTGGAAAGGTATAGCAGCCAAAAGATCTATATTGATTCTAAATGCCGACGGAAAAATAGGGGGACCTGGAGGAAAAAGCCACATGACCACGGGGAGAACATACAAACTCCAAATATACAGGTGTCAGGGTCAGGACCGAACCCACAACCTCCTGCCTACCAGGCAAACGAGATAACATCTTGCCACCGCAATGCCCCAGGGTCAAGGTCTCTGGCTGGAGGTGTGTCTTGCTCAGCCAAAGTTACATATCGACAGCTGTTTACTCGTGATGGGGGGTTCTAGGTTGGCGAGGGCATCAAGGGTGGTCCCGTATTGAGGGTGCTACGCTGCAGGCCTGGGTGGTACGCGCAAGTCCGTCTGTCGCGCTCCTTAGCTGTAACAGTTGCCGATGTTGTGCGAAGGTCTCTTAATTCAAGGTTTCAATAAGTCGAGGCTGGCGGCCCATTTTGGCATGTCTGGGACATCGGTCTAAGTAGGTTCAGTCCGTCGGTTTATTTCGGGTAAGGCCCATTGAGCTAAAAAGCTCTTTCAAAGGTGAGGGAGCCAAAAGGGCTGTTAAAGCTGCTCTGTATTTGAACGAGTGTCCAATAACTCGTGCAGGGCCATGTTGCGCAAAGTCAATGGTGGCCCAAAATCGCTCCCCTCCCGCAAAATGAAATGAATCAATGCCTACATTTCATAACCTTGACATATGGTGCACACTCCTCCTTGCTGGCTCACCATCAAGGGGAAAAAGGCTCCAAATCTTTTCAACGACTGGAAGTAATGCAGTCCATTGGCGCTGAAATATTGGTTGAGTGTAAAACCACGAACAATAAATTCACTCCCGCTATTCAGCCCTGTAATGACTGCTCTCAGCTGAGCTCTGCAACATTACTGTGAAAGAAGAAGCAAGCGCATGCAGTATTCTAATACAGGAACTGCTTTTTTATTACTTTGTTCCCCCCACCCGCACGTACGGTAAGAAATAAGTTAAACGTACATACAAATATACAAGCAGGCGCTCCTTTTTAAATTGCTTACCCAAAGCCATGGCTAATTCCGCAAGTAAAGGAGGCCTTCCAACAAGTAACAATACTAAACTAATTCTAATTGCATTAACTATAAAAAGTATGAAGTTAATACACAGTAGGAGGGCCTTGTCTAGACATTGCGCAGTCCGCTTAACTAAGCTGCCGAAACTAAAATTAGCCGTAATGAAATGCTTTCAGTAAATCTGAAAGCGCATGGAAACGCTTGCACGTTCGGCCGGAAAGTGTTTGCAATGTTATGAAACCATCGAACGGGGAAGCTAATGTAGACCGCCCTGTGCCAGTGGGTGCTACTTTGAGTAAGCAACCATGATAGTGGTAATGATGTTTAACTACACACGGCCAGAACGGCTCACTCCTCCCCATCATTGCACAGAGCCGCTGCCAGGGGACTGCTGCTTCGTGACAGTTATTTACTAAGGACCACCTGCCCCTACCACCCTCCACCTACCCTCATCCATGCCCATTTTACCACTTCACGCACGTGCCCCATAGCCCACGGCCTCTCTCTCCACGTTGCACCCATCAGACAGGTCCCTCTCTCACCGTAACCCTCCACCTTATTCTGCCTTGCCTACCCCTAACAACATCAGCTACATTCCCTGCCCCTGTCCCCTCCATCCAATCCCTCCCCTCCCTTACTAACCACCGTCAGCTTGCATTTTAAAGCGCCCTGGAAAAGGGGCGCTGCGCAAAATCCTAAGTAGAATAGTATTCACCACATTGCATTGCGGCTCTTGAAAGAGCTTTTTTATTATTATACCAAATTCGATTTTTTTTTTCCTTATTACTTTGCTTGCCGACCCCTGGTTTGACCAATGCTCACCCCTGCTACTCGTGAGTCACCCTTTGGGACAATTTTTTCCACCGCCCCACCAAGCACTTTCTCCATTTGTTGCTGTCGATGTCAAGCTGGCATCTCTGAAGCGCCGCTGCCGCTTGCCAACCCTGGAATGTACACTTCTCATTCTCATGCAGGACGGTCAGTCTGCTCTTTTATTTCCAGCCACAATATTAATTTGTAATTCAAGCACCCTCACGTACACGGTTCTTTGGTTCACAACATATCCGGGGGTTAATTATAATCACAGTTATGGTGGGCATTGTTAACCGACATTACAATTCCATTGTAATCGCAGCTCATTACGATTGACACGATCGCAATTGTGGTTGGAATCTCTCGGGCCTGGTTCACAGTGCATTGTGGACATCGGAACCTTTATTCAATTGTTTGCGGAGCACATTCTGATCCAAACTTCAGGTCGATCCACTGCTGTATTATCACTGATTGGTCCACATCTAAATCGCATCCACTGCACAAACCATGGCAGTCGATGCGGATACCTGATGGTGGACAAATGGAAAATTAAAAACTCTCCAGAGGTGTGAGACAGTGGTCATCCAGAACAGAGACCGTACAGCGTATAACGCAATGCCCGATCCCACAAATACGAAGGAGACATCACAGCGATACACTCCGCTACTCCTGACGCGGTTATCTGGCTTGACCACCTTGAATGTGCAATTGTAGTTGTTGCTCTGTATTTCCATCAGTCATACGAAAGAAGAAGAAAACTGACTGGCATGTGTTGATAACCCATAGGGCCTGGAGTGTTGCTAAAGCACTTTAGGAAAGACACGGTTTTGCTTCCTCCACTCTCCTCTGCTATGGGCTTGCTTGCTTATACCTTTGACAAAAGGAAGACGTTACGACCGTTACACATGGTCAAGCCCTGTCGCCTTCAATCAAGTGAACATGGATGTCACATCTTATTATTTTCGCCATAAAACACTGAATTAATAATGGCTAGAGCTTTGCGGGATAGTACAAATCTACAGCGGCTTTTCGTGGTAATGCATCACAGGCTTCATTTTATCCTAGGTAAGCAAATTTAATAATAATGTAATTATAATAACCCTTGCAACATTTCCCTGCTGCTTAAAGAGATGTTTGAGATTTCAACTGATAAGTACCTCAACTCAAGCCTCATATCCTATAATCAGCATCGAATAAAGAGCCAGAGCTTTCATCATCTTGTGAACAAGCTAGCTTTTTATTGGCATTATTCTCACTCATGTGGGGGTCTGCCTTCCTGCTCCTCCTTCTCCACTCATTCCCATCCTTGGCCATCATCTCCACGTCCACTCCACACACTAATTCGTATCGTGGTTCATCGCGCCCAGCCGCCTCTTGCTAGTCCCTCCTCTCAATTCTCCACCATGGTGCTCAGGAGTTTATCAACTTTCCTCCAATGTGGTTTTGCTATCCGTTCGTGCCGCATCCTCGCGATCTGAGTCAACACTCTCTCGGCTTGTCTGAGACGGGCACCGCCACACTTTTGCCGTCTTCCTCGTCTCCGTCGCTAACACGATTCAGTCTTGCAATCCCCGAGAGCCATCTCACCATCCTGAATTCTGTGGTGTGCAACATTTGACGTACTTTATAAGGTCGAATTCATGACACACAATGTTTCTTGCCACAAATGAACCACAGTACCGTGCTGATTTCGTCAAGGAGCATAAACCATCAAGTAAACTTCGGTTATCCTCGAAGTGTCTTTTGGCTAGCCAAGTCCTTCCAGATGAGCTATGCAGTTTTAAATCTAGATTGAGAACTCATTTCTTCAGAATAGCTTTTTGTGTTCAGTTTGTTGTCCTTCCCCAGCACCTCCGATTAGCACGGTTGGCTACGTACGGTGCGAAACAAGATCAACATACATCTGCTGTTCCTTCAACAAGCAGACTCGTAAGTCAATATATCTATAAAAACACTAATTAATTGTCCAATAACACCTTAATACATAGAGAACCGCAGAGCTTGGGAAAATGTTGGCGCCGGCTCATCAAGTGGTTGCCTTCCTGCTTGTCTGTGGTTTCTCGCGCCTCCGAGTCGTTCTAAGCGACAGAGTAAATACTGTGTGCTCTACAGGTTAAAAATATGATAACACTTTTCTTATCAGTGTATTCACGCCAACAGTTGCTTTATAACCAGCCGAGTGTCAAAAATGGCCCCGTTACCGTCTTATGCGACTAACCTTCCTAAGTGATACCATTTACGTAATTAAAAAATGCACCAAAAAAATTTCATTGGCAATTAATCTTTAAATATCTGCAACACCCTTAAAAATCAATATCGACCTACCATTTGACTTTGTAATGATCCCAAGGTCCTGGCACAGGTAATGACGCAGCTATTGCATGCAATCATTTTTAGAATGTTTGGTTAAAAGCCACGACACATTAACCAGGAGTGAGCTTAATGGGATGCATTACCTCTCTACAATGCAACTAGGTTGAGCTGTGAACCCCAATTCACGATTATCCATTCTTCGTAGGCTTGACAAACTTAACCAATGTCTAGATTTGAAGCTTTCGTGACTGCAAGGATTCATATTCTTAGGTTTTTTCGGTAAAGTCACGTAGATAAAAACATTAAAAAGTAAAATAAAATAAAAATCACGACGTTTCGGAGGCAACACAATCAAGTACTTGATACAGCTGTCGTGGCTGTGACGGTACCACCTGAAGACGGAAGCTTGTGTTGCCTCCGAAACGTCGTGATTTTTATTTTATTTTACTTTTTAATGTTTTTACCTACGTGACTTTACCGAAAAAACCTAAGAATATTAACCAATGTCCATACATCATAAAATGTACACATGGCAGCCACTGTGAGCCAACTGGCTCTAAGCTCAGGATCTGAGCCTCATTTTCACAACTGGGCAGAGTTGGGGAATCTGTACATTAGTTATAAATTTTTGGTCGAGCTTAAACATGATTTATTTAACCAGGTTAATGGCCACGAAGCTCATTCGAGATGTTTTGATCTCCAACCAGATAAGATCTCACTGAGATTCTGGGTCCCATGCTCTCTATAAGACAAATGCGTGCAGATTCAGGTTTATCACCTCTTTCACCAAGGAATGAATGATGTCCATAACCTTTTACAAGGTGAGTCTATTGAGATTCATCTTCTTGGTTCTTTCGGTAAAGTCACGTAGAAGGGAAGTAATAAAAATAAAACATAATATAATAAAAACATAACATAATAAAATAACATAATAAAATATAATAAAATTAAATTAATTTTATTATGTTTTATTTTTATTATTTTATTACTTCCCTTCTACGTGACTTTACCGAAAGAACCAAGAAGATGAATCCCTGCAGTCACGAAAGCTTTAAATCAAAAATCTATTGAGATTCATGACATCTTTATCCAGATGAGCAATGACTGACATTCAGGAACTCTCTCATCAGGTGAACTGCTCGTTGACATTCACAACATTTGTAGACAGGTGAGGGTATATTGGCATTCATGATATCTTTAGGCAGGTATATTGATAGTCACGTATCTTTAGACAGGTTAGGGTATATTGAGATTCATGATATCTTCCAGGTGTGTGCTCTGAAATTCACTACTTTAGCCAGGTGTTCGATGTCATGCATTACTTGTTTTCTCAGCGGGTCTACCGAGATGTATATTACCTCTCTCTCAGCTCATTGACAGTCAGTACCTATTTCACCAGATGAGTGCTCGATGACGCGCAAGCCTCTTTAGTTACACGCTCATTGTCATGTGTCACCTCTTTCAGCAGGTGAACAATCACTTAGAAGTTAAGTGTTAATTGATACTTTTCTTTTACCAGGTGCGGTGAGTTCATTGACGATCCATTACCTCTTTTACAGATCCAGTAACTCTTTAAACAGGTAATTTCTCACCGAGTTGCATGCATCGACTCTTCAGGTAAGTGCCCATTGAGATTGACGACCTCTTTCGCTAGGTAAGAGTCTGTTCAGGCACATTACCTATTCAACCAGGTGAATGCCCATTCAGATTCATTACCTCTTTCACAGGCGAGCTCTCAATGAGATCAATTTACCTCTTTGTCAAGCAAGTGTGAAGGTCCGTCCATTGCGTCGATTACACATATCTCAAATAGCAATGCATCGAACTGGCACGTCACGTGTCGCAGAGCATTCCTGCACCACCACAAAGACAAAGATCCCCCGTATAGCCTCAACGGACTTGTGGGGCAAGTGCTGTTCGCGAGGAGCTATTAATGCGGGTACGGTACACGAGAGGGGTGGGTTGTCAGAACCACGCCCGGCCGCCTTTGTCTCCCGAGTGGCAATGTTTAACACCTCGAGGAACCAGGTACTCATTTGAGGCCGAGTCGACCTAGGGGAGGCCCGGGATCGGTTCAGATAATCGTCACTGGTGTTGCCCGTGAGCGGAAATTGAATTCGGGTAACCGGTTTCGTAGCACACCGCGCCCCATAACACACGCGAGCAACAACAACCCCTCACCGCCCAATCCCCAGCAGATAGCACCACGTCTGTCAACAATAACAACAAGTCTGCACAACATACCACCATTGATCAGGAGCCACCCACCGCCCCCAAACAAACTACCGCAACACGAGTGATAATGATACTGCCGGTACTGTTGCTGATGAGTGATGCTGCTGCTGCTATTGATTCAGATGTTGTTGTTGTTTATGCTAGTGATGGTGGTGTTGATGGTGATGATGATGGTGCCGCTGTTGGTAATGAGTGCTGATGATGCTACTGATCCTGGCGTTGTTGATGACAAGTGCTCATGATGGTGATGGTATTGCTCGTGATGGTGCTATTGCAAATGAATGAACATGCTGCTGCTGCTGCTGGTGTTGGTGTTGTTGATGATGGTACTCGTGGTGGTGGCAATGATTCTGCTGCTGAGTGATGATGATGCTGGTGCTGATCCTGTTGATGATGCTCGTAGTGGTGATAATGATGCCGCTGTTGCTCATGAGGTTGACGATGGTGGTGAATGTTGGGTGCTGATATCACTGCTGTTGATGATGATGGTGTTGGTGGTAGTGCCGGTTGCCGCTGGCGATAGCGGCGGTGGGGCGAATGCCGCGGGCGACTGTCGGCATGCACCCACCTATGACGGTCCTCAGGTGCTTGAGGCGAGTGAGGACATCCTTCTTGGGGTCCAGAATTTTCTGCATCGACTTCTTCACGTCGCCCGCGTGAGGCTTTTTGGAAAACATGGCGGCGGCACCACCGCCACCACCACCGCCACCACCACCTCCTCCTCTCGCCCGTACGTCTGTCACCGCACGAGTGTCCGCCCGTCGGCTTGCTCCAGCCCTGGGCGAGCGAGCGAGGGAGCGGCTGAAGCAGGCTGGCAGGGGGGGGGGGAAGAGGCCGTTCTGAGGAGCACGTTACATGACGCGGCTGGAGAACGGAGGGACGCGGCTCACAGCTGTCACTGGCGCCGTCATGGCGGGCCGAGCGCGACACGCCCACTTCCGCCCCCGCGGGACACGCCCACTTCCGATGGGGGCGTGGTGGGAACGAAAGACACGCCCACTTCCGCCACCGTGGGACACGCCCACTTTTGATGGGGGCGTGGTGGGAACGAGACACGCCCACTTCAGCCACCGCGGGACACGCCCACTTCCGATGGGGGCGTGGTGGGAACGAGAGACACGCCCACTTCCGCCACCGTGGGACACGCCCACTTCCGATGGGGGCGTGGTGGGAACGAGACACGCCCACTTCCGCCACCGCGGGACACGCCCACTTCCGATGGGGGCGTGGCGGGATTGAGACACGCCCACACTTCATCTTCTTGGTTCTTTGGGTAAAGTCACGCAGAATGGAAATAATAAAATAATAAAAAATTAAGCATTAAATTTTTCATTTTATTATTTTATTATTTCCATTTCCATTCTAAATAAAACATAAAAATGTAATTTTTATTATTTTATTATTTCAATTCTACGTGACTTTACCGAAAGAAATGAAAAAATAATAAAAATAAAACATAACAATTTTATTTTTATTATTTTATTATTTCCATTCTACGTGACTTTACATTTAACGTTGCTCAAATCTAAGCATACCAATGAGAAAAAACCCCATCGCAATAGCACAATTTGTACAAAAAAAACTTTCAATATCACGCCAACAAAGTGCCCTCCGTGTACAAAATACGCTCTCGGCATTAAGCGTTTGTGGAAAACCACCAATTCCTGAAGAACTGCATTCACAGTAAACGAGCAACGTTGGTGCAGCGTTGGCCTGTGGTTGGAACCGCTGGACCAAAGTTGGTTCAACGTTGGCTGCAGGTGCCAGGTTTGCTGGATTGTGACCATGTCTTAAGTCCCCGTTGATAAATTGAGCAACACGTGGCGAACAAAGTCGGAGTTGCACCCCTTCTATTCTTTTTTTTTCTGCAAAAGATTTCCATGTGATAAGCCACTTTGTTTTAAATGGTAAAATAAAATAAAAGTTGTATTTGTATTATTTGAAGTGATTACCTTTCCTATTCTCTGCAGTCCTATCGTGTGTTTGTACTGTTTGTTGTTGCTGTAGCGTTCTGACCCGCCCCTACTGGACATCTGTGAAAAGAGCTTCATAGCTCATCGGATTCCTCATGTATAGCTACATATGCTGATCTTTAGTTCATTCGATTGTCACAGTGTCGAGCCAAGGTTGATACCGTTTTCCCCATTGTGATGGGCGTAGAATGCAATGTATAGCAGTGAGCCGCGTTGCCATGCACTGAATTACTAGAACGCGTGGGTTGTTACGTGGTACGATGCATTACGTCTCATTACGTGAGCGCAAGAATCGATTTATATCGATTCATATCGATGAATCCGTGAGGCGATCTGACGACACCTGCTGGCGATATTGAAGCACTGTCCTTCAACTGCCTGGCCCCAGATCCAAGTCGATTTTATGGTTAGGAGCAAGAATAGAGATTGGAGGACTCATGTGGTTATGGTTAGGTGCAGGGCAAGAGTTTGATTAGCTAGTGTGGTTATGGTTAGGTGCAATGCTAGAGATTGGTTTGGTAGTGTGGTTAGGGTTAGGAGTAGGGCTAGAGTGGTGGGCTCGTGTGGTTATAGCTAGGTGCAGGGCTAGATATTGATTAGCTAGTGTGGTAATGGTTAGGAGCAAGGCTAGAGAGTGGTGGGGGAGTGTGGTTATGGTTAGGAGCAGGGCTAGAGATTGGTTGGCTCGTGTGGTTATGGTTAGGAGCAATGCTAGAGATTGGTTTGGTAGTGTGGTTAGGGTTAGGAGCAAGGCTTGAGTCTGGTTGGCGAGCATGATGTTGCCTGAGATAGTGTGACCTCTATTTGCCAAGTACGGCCTTTTTTAACTCTTTATTAACTTATGAAAATGTTAATGTGTGCATTGCTGCGCCGTTTCAGGACAGTGCTTCTATTCAGTCGGTACCTGCAAAAACGAGGACGGTGCACCACACACGTGCGTGGTAGCGACAACTTTTCGCGAAACACGTTTTCAGAGCGTCGAAGCGAATTGTATGGCAACGTTTTAAAAACGCAATCTCGCGCGGAACAGCTGAACATGCTATTGATGGACCGAGTCGACTCATCTCTGGCATGGGCCCGTGGAATTTCCACCAGTGGTGCGGTGCTGAGCGTGGGGGAGGTGAAAGCTGCGTCACTGTTAGTTTGAGAAGGGCGGCTCTTTGATCATGTGAAACGCAGCAGCTGACAATGATGACAGTTGAATCACCGGGCTATGTTGCAGCAATGTGTGTTTAAAGATGCACATAATTATTCTTATTATACCGGTATAAATGCATCGGCCACCTTCTCAGATTGATCTTGAGCAATCCCTGTTTGTTGATTTAGACCACGTGGAGTGTTTGGCAAAATATCGTCGCGTTCAGATCCATTCCATCACCCGACATCGACAAACAAATGAAATCGTCACAGATGCACAGTACACGCGTTTGATGCACGCGTTGCTATTGTTTTAGCTCACCGGTAAAGCAAAAAGCACAGTAACTGAATAGTAATTATTCATAATAATCCTTATTTTATATTCTTGGTTCTATAGGTAAAGCCACGTAGAAGGGAACTAATAAAATAATAAACATATAAAACAAGAATACGAATCCCTGCAGTCACGAAAGCTTTAAATCAAAAAACCCTCTTTTGTTCAATTATTCCAAGATGAAGTATTCGCATTTTAGTGACATGTGAGTTCATGGCATGCCTTATTATTATTAATAATGTAAATTTTGACTTAAAACTTTCGTGACTGCAGGAATTAATATTCTTTGGATCTTTCATTAAAGTCACATAGATGAAAAATAGAAAAATAAAAATAGAAAAATATGAATAGAATAAAAAAAATCTAATAAATTTTTTTTGCAAAAAATCAAACGTTTCGTTTGCAACACAATCGCTTGTGTTGCGATCGAAACGCCGTGGGTTTTTTGCTTTTATTTAAAATTTTATTAATATTTCATTTTTTATTTATTTTATCTATCTACATGATTTTACCGAAAGAACCAAAGAATATTAACAATGTACTTATGTATGCGGGAGAGACACACTTGAACCACGGGACTCTTTTTCAAGAGGGTCTTCCTGCTGCTACATTGGGAGGTTTTATTTGAAGAAGTTGTCAGACAATCGATGACAAGTCGCGTTTATTCCAATACACGCGGGAGGAAACCCTGGAGCACCCGGAGGAAACCCCCACGCATGTGCGAGAAAGGGGGGCAACGCTCTATCCCCGTACAGATGGAAACAGATGGCGACTAGCCCACACTTGCTGAACTGCCTTCTCCTGGCCAGCCCAGGGCATGTGGAACCTAGACGCGCACAGGAAGAGAGTTTCACAACATCTGTGTGTGATTCACCAACCCTTGCTGCTGCCTTCACATTGCTGGGATTACAGGCAGCAGCACAGCCTCATCACCATGAGACTGTTGTCAACAACATCGATTTGTGGACTCTAAAACTGCAAAATCTGTTTTAATTCCACCTGCCAAACAGCAATCCCCGAATATTCTATCATTTTGCAAGTAATAATGAGCCACTATAATCAATAGATTATATTAATTAATAACTAATAGAAATGTGTTGAATTCAGCTCAATGTGATTCCAAACTACACATAGTCATTATTTTATGTATAGGCTACTCTTATATATTTACTAAACATTAATTAACCCCAGTCTCGGTTTTTACAGTGTAGTGGTTTTCACATTGATGACCTAAACGTCGGCTTTCGCGACCAATATCATCTATAATACAGGGTTTTTTTGTTGTTAGATCACGGCAATATAAATGCGTCGTTAAACCCGCCACCACCCGACACAGCCAATTAGTAAGGTTTGTCAAGTAAACAGATCATGCCAATTCGTTACTAGTACAGCACACCGGTGTATTGGAGAGAAAATCTACAGCATTTACAATCCGAGTACGACGTTTCGCCAGTAAGTTAAACCGGCATCATCAGGCAGCAGCCAGATTTGTAGGATAAATCCTATTTGAATAGCTACCGACTTATAGCTACAGACTTAGTGCTGTTTGGAAGCGAATCATCAAATAATACGTTGTTTAAATCCGTGCCTGTAACAGGTCATCATGCATCAATGGGGTTACCTGTGAACAGACAATAACAGGTACTCCTATGTTAGTGCACACAGACAGGAGGTACAGGAGGCCCAAGAACAATGTGCATGTATAATGTACGTTGAGTACCACGTGGATAACCCAACCGGTAATGGATACCCATTGTAATGTTAAGCATTCATTAATCTCCTCCCACTTTGCACAAGAAGGGCTCACAAGTGACGTCATCACATCTACGCCTCTACTCAAGGAACGAAACAGGAGGGTTTTTTCACAAATCTGGCTGCCGCCTGACGATGCCGGTTGTGATTACGGGCGAAACGTCGTACTGAGATTGTGAATGTTGTGGATTTGCTCTCCGACGCACCGGTGTTGCTGTACTAGTGTAGTGACAGTACGCAGTGATAGCGGGGCAGTATGGTCCCCTGGTACCATGGTTACTAATGGACGGGCTAATGATGATTAATGGGACAAGCATTGGCAGGGTCACGTGAGGGGGAGCACAGGATCAAATCGTGGGAAAGTGTAATAAGGGGCCGTCCATAAATGACGTCACGCACCTAGGGGGGGTCAGACATTTGTGACGATGTGTGACGAGGGGAGGGGGGGAGAAACGTGACGTCACATCAAAATGCGCAACTTTAAATAAATATAGACAACACGTTCTACTTAGTTAAATAGACTTTTTAAATAAATGTTTTCTCCTACAACATCAGAGTGCAGCGCCACATTAAATACGAACTACAATGACAATAGTTTAAAGCGATTTGAAGCATGTTTTATTTTGGGGGGGGGGGGGGGGCAGAGCTTTGTGACGTCATATTTGAGGGGAGGGGTCTGACTTTTTGTGACGCCGTGTGACGAGGGGGTCAAAAAT